CCGCCTGAAGCGCCTGCTTCATAGTTTAAGCTAATGATGAGTGTGTACAGGTGTGCTTTATACTCCTCCGGTTATTCCGTCACACCTTACCGTTCTAGCAACAAGCCAATAGGATTGGAGTGATTTCATTCACGTTCAGACCTGCTTCGCCTAGAGGCGTTCCCATAGTGTCGTAACCGACGCAGTCTCTCGTTCCCCTTCTCGGGGAACCAGGGTTACATACGTAACCCGAGACGTTTTCAACATCCAAGGAATTTGTCTTTTTGGTGCAGAACAATAAACATAGTGAGAGAAAATAAAAAACAAGGACTGTAAAAGTCAAGAATCATAATTGATTGAATGTTCAAAATGTACCGATATTCACAGTTTTTTAAAAGGTTTTTCAACTACTATCTAGTCATTCATACTTTCAGCTATAAACTCCATTCAAATATGAAAATGTTCCACATCTTTCCTTATTTCGTGATATATTTTCTACTTTCAAACCCTCTTCAAACTCTTCTAGATATTCACCTTCTTTGAAACTTTGTTATAATGAAAGTCAATGAGAAAATCCTTCCAACTCACTCATCTTCAACCTCTTCCCACTGATTCAGACATTCACCAAGAAATGACATTCAGTCTTTAAAATGTTCACAATTCTTCACAAGACTTCCCTAAGTTAATTCAACTTTTCTACATCAGCCTTTATAATGAGTTTCTATGAGGCGGATTGTTTGCAGCTAGAGTGGGAGGACCAACTGACAGAGTGGCAATTCTCTTCAAAATCTTCTTCACGTTTTGTCTTCAAGTCGCTCCATTTCCCACAACTTTCACTCTACATACATCATTTTTACACCAAGTTGTAGCCAATCTGTTTTTTGGTGCTGACATGTACTGCGGACTCTTTGAAAGCAAACAGATTTGCACAGCGAGCACAGTCAGCTTGAAAGTGACAGCAGTCCAGCCAACTGCTGCATAAACTCCCAAATGAAATGAGACCTGAACTTTCAGGAGGAAGGCAAAGGTGCACATTTGTACATTTCTGTTATGGACACGTTTCTCACACTACAGACACAAATCACACACACCATCTTCAGGAGGATCTTTTCTCTCTTACAGTATGTTTACTTTGGCAATGAAAGTTACGGCCTGTTTGGTGGGAGATGGAACATGGAGGGTGTGCTTCAGCTAAATTCACTGTTTAATGAACTGTCCATGGAGGCAGACAGCTTTTACCATCACCATGGCAACCTCAGAATGTAGGAGGGGCACACAGCTGATTGAGATGATGTCATTAGTGCAGTCGGATCCTGTCGGATTTATCACGGCGCTGCCTGGAGAAATATAGTCTAATATTTGGAAAAATTAAAATAGCAATTTCAGAGAGGAGACAGAAAGGTTTGCATTATCCATTTGAAGGTTGGATTCAGTCTGAAACGAATAAAGACAGAAGCTAAAGCTGACAAATCACACAGTAAAAGTTGACCACCGAATCACCTGATGATTGAGACAAAGGACAACAACATTAAAGGGGCTATATGTAAGTTTTTGATTTTAATCAATCAAATTTTCATTGCCTTATTATCAATGGGCTTAAAACTCACTTAGAAATGAAGCACACGCCTGTTTTCTCCGGTGCTTGCATCAGACACTATTCTGCTTTTAATGAGAGGTCTCCGGGTCGGATTCAGACCTGTGCGCCTCCCCAGCCTCTCAGACTACTGCGACAACACGGCAGCTCACGACATGCAGTCCACCAACACCATAAAACAACCGGCTCACAGCAAAACACAGGGTCCACGTAAGGATCCAAAACTACAATAAAGGTTCATGTGCTGAAGCCCATCAGACCAAACAGGTTCAGATGATGTCGCGTAAGAACAAAGTGAGCATTAGTAAAGCCGGAGAAACACACAGAAAGTCACGTTAGCTCACCGGCTAACTCCGAGCAGTTGCTAATGTTATCCGATCGCTTTCCACATTAATTCACCAACTAACGCGACCCATGTTACTTTCCTGTGTACCTCTGGTATTATGTCAAAGTGTCAAGGCCTGCAAGAAATGATGTAACGAAAAAAAGCAAATGTGGAACGATTTGTTTACTGTCCTATAGCGATGCAGCCAGGAGCAGCCAGCTAACGCTACATTAGCTCGGACCTGCCGCTGTTTGCTTCGTAACGTTCAATTTCTGATTTATTGCCTTTTACCGATGCTCAGGTACACAGCTTCTCCACCTCTCAGTCGCTGTAACTAACATGTCCCACATAATATACAACCCAGAGGAAGAGCCGTCCACTGACACTACAGTAAAGTTACTTACTGCTGTCTTATTATTATAAAGTGTGACACGATCTCGTTATCATATTCAGCCCAGCTCACTACCCCTTTCGTTATCATCCAAAACATGTAGCTGCGCTGACACTGCTGAGCCTCCGGTGAAAGATACACAGATAGTAAAGATGGTTACCGAAAGCAGCAGGCGAGCTAACGATGTAGCACGTCGGCTAAATGCAGTAAATGTACCGTGATCATGTAACGAGCGTGGATTAGTTCAACCTGCAGCTGACAAAACTATTACTGTAACGTTGCAGAAGGGGTTTACCTGAGTTTCCAGCATGTTGTGTGAAGCCGTCTCCCTGCCTGTCTATAGCCGCTGTCACTCGGGAGGATTGAATGAAGTAACGTTACGGAGCCGGTGTTGATCCGCCTCTGAGACGGGAACGTTGAAGTAACAGAGCCTGAACATGTCTGGAGAAAAGCCACAGCCTGCATGCTGGTGTTCCTGCGTTTATTGCAGGATTTCTGTATGAAAGCGGTCGTGTTTCGGATTCTGCTCGCTCATGAGTTCAAGCGAGCACGCGTACGAGCACACGCCTGGTTGCAATCTTAAAACCGCACCGCTAGTGACCGCTGGAAACTCCATAATGCCCCTTTACTGTTCCTGTAAAGCTGGGTCGGTCAAAAACATAAAATCCTACAATTGTTTGAGTGGTTTTATTTTAAGCAGACTGTTTGTCTATTGTTGTACTAAGATGAAGCTCAGAACACATTTTATGACCAATTTATGCAGAAATCCAGCTAATTCTAAAGTGTTCACATACATTTCTCTGCAAATGTATTCTAGATTTTAACCTTAATTAATATGTAGCCCACAGTCAAGGTCTCATTCACTCCAATACAAACTGCAGACCGACTTCTCCTCACCTTCCCAATTCTTAAACTTAAAATCTTCACATCAATCTTCACCTTCATGTTTGGAGTGTGGAAACATGCTCAGCTACTCAAGCTAAAAATTACAGCTGAAAAGCTTCATTTTTAAGGTGAATGCACTTTTTCATCAACAAGTGGTTGTTAGTTTGATCCCCAGCTTGGGCGAGAGTGTTCAATGGTCACAGCTTTAAACTTTCACACACCTGTGTGGTGTTTGAACATCATGACGTCCAACACAAAGTTCAGAATTCTGAGATTTAAGTCAGAATTCTAACTCAAATACAAATTTCAAATGTGAACTTAATCCTCTTCCGCATACTACTAACTTTAGTAATTAGTGTTAAATTTGTATTCTGTCTGTCTCCATCAATGTAATCATAGTTTCCATTGACATCAGTGTTTCTTAAGATTACTTGTTTGCTGTTTATTTATTTTATTCTCCAACAGTGGAACAACAGAAATTACATTTACAACCACAACAGTGTGGCGCCAGTTATTTGTGGTCATCGAGGGCCCTTCTATGATTTGCTGAGCAAGTCTGTGGATTTAGGTGGCACTACAGGATTTGATAAATAACAGCTGCCAAATGCACATTCTAGTTAATGTTTATTGTTTGTCTCAGTTGATCTTATCTTGATATCATTATGGTTCATGTTTGTATTTCTATAGTCAACACAAGCTGTTGATGAAATCCTCCTATTTCTTTCTTTCTCCTCCTGGACTCTCCACCTGTGTTCACTGATTTATTCTGCTGCTGTTCAACTTGTTCTGGATCTTTTTAGTAATAATTCACTTCCATCAGCTCACCTGCAGAAACAAGCAGTCCACACAGCAACACAGCCGCACCTGCAACAGGTGGACAGAGGTCACTAAAGGTCAGAGGTCACTAAAGGTCAGAGGTCACTAAAGGTCAGAGGTCAACAGACAGACAGACAGACTTCCATCAGCTCACCTGCAGCAGTCAGCACAGCCAGACCTACAACAGGAGAACAAGGTTTACTAAAGGTCAGAGGTCAGCAACTGCTTGAAACAACAAACTCTCTGTAGAGAAAAGAAACTTGTCAGAGAATCAAAGTCAGGAAGGTTTAAAGTAAGGAGAACATTTCCATCCTGAAACTGAACACCAGTGGAAATTAAAAGTCCTGTTGATGAAGCAGAGTTTCAGTTCAGACATCAAGCAGCAGCTGCTTCACTCATGCTTCACCATCACTGCTCAGGTGTAGAACAGGTGTGTGTGTACCTGCAGTGTGTTTCCTTTGAGCAGATCTGACAGCATCTGGATCAGCAGGAAACAAACACAGATCAGTCAGGTTACTGGAAATGGAGATCAGAGAGCATTTCTCACGGAGCTGTGTGACAGACGGGTCCCAGGTGTCCTGAGGACGTCACTGATTGGACAGGAGTCCAACCAGTCCCAGGTTGTAGTTCAGTACAGACCTGCTGACTGGATCAGACACAGTCTGGTTCCAGTCTGTTCACATCAGGTGAGTCTGACAGCTTTCATACCTGTTTGATTCCTGCGGAGCAACAGAACTCCGACCAGGACCAGAACCAGAAGAACCAGAGAACCCACAGGTAGTCCAACTGTTAGGAGGGGAGAGGAGAGAGGGGGGGAGGCTGAAGGAGGAGAAAAAGGAGGAGAAGGAGACGGAGAGCTAAGAAAAGGAGGAGAAGTACTGGAAGGAGGAGGGGCAGTAGGACCTGGAAGGAGAATCAGTAGAACCTGGATCAATGCAGTGATCAGTTTATTATCAGGTCAGCAGGTTAGTTCATGTCATATAAACAGGAAGTGATGTCAGTGTCCTGACCTCTGACACTCAGCCATCTCCGAGGAGATTCAGCAGTCTGATCAAAATAACACCAGTAGAGACCTTCATCAGACTGACTGATGTTCCTGAAGGTAAACTGTCCTTCAGGTCCAGATCCAAGTTTAGAACCATCCCTGATGAAAAAGGCTTCGAGTGCGACCTGATCTTTGCTTCTACAGCGCAGAGTGACATCACTTCCTGCCACCACAGGAAGTTCAGGAATCTCCAGAATAACATGAGAATCTGAAGAAGAAGAAAACAGAGTTAGTCCATCAGACCAGAACCATCTGTCCATCTTCAACACAACTCAGAGAGACGCCTCTTCTATAAAGGACTGAGGACAGAGAGAGAGAGAGAGAGAGAGAGAGAGATTTTTTTTGATTTTTCAAAACACACTCTCATTAGTCAGTACTCACTCCACAAAAACACCACACATTTATAGCATCAACACATCAGCATACAGCAACTGATCAGCCAGTACAGAACACAGCGCCCTGCCATGAGCCCACACTGACAGAAATCTGTTGAATAATTCCTTTGTTTACTGTGTTGGTTTGCTGTATCTTATCTAAAACTTTATTACTATTACGTATTACTGTTTGTAGTGTAGCCATTGGGAGAATGACTGTGGTCTCGCTGGGTAAAGGTGTTGACCACTGCTGTTATTCTTTCAATGTAAGGTTTGACTACTGTTTCCTAGTATTTTATTCTTAAGACTTAAGAAGGATTACATTGTGTGTGTTATTCATGAACCTGTGCCTTTTCAATGTGTCTACATGAGCAGAGCAGCCGTTCAGGCAGCACAGGCAAAACCTAGCCAACCGTAACATACACAATGGTAGTAAGGCACCTGCTGCGAGTCCCGTACGCCACGAATGAGATCATGACACACTGATTAATGTCGACTGGTACTGGTACAGCTAGAAGCTAGGCTTTGTATGAGACACGGCATATTCATGTTTGATATGTTGAATCATGGTATGCGTTTATCAAGTATGTTATTCCTTTTTAATTCTTTTAAAAAATACAATTGTAAGTGTTTGAGTTTTAATGGTGTCAAATTAAGCCTGTATAACTTTTTAAAAAATATGGTGGGACTGAAGTTGAAACATATTGGTGAATTTTTAGTCCAGTTATTTAAAAAATATAAAGAAGGATAAATTGTAACAAACATTATGCTGAATAACAGCTAAAAAGTGGTCGATATTAGTGAAAGGATTAAATTGGTAAAACAGTACGTACAAACGGGCACCAAGAAATTCACCAGTGGAAGGGAGTGGTCAGCAAACACTGTAGACCAAGTGTAGTTTAAGGTGAATATAAGGCGAGGTTCTCTGACCACCAGCTCAGTTCCATCCTGAGACCTGCAGGGATGTTACTCGGGTTTACTTGTCCTTTTTGGAATAAACTCTTTTGCACCGACTCTTGACTGTCTCCAGTGAAGTCTTTGACTACAGAAGAAAGCTAATTGAGTCATTTTTACTGAGTTTAATAAGTTGGGGTAGGGACCAGGCCTTCCACTGGCCCGGCCTGTCCTTATTTCCGACCCAGCAAGTCCAACAACAACCTGGACTTCACCAGTTTTACAAACAGCAGCTTCACATTGACTGCTTGATCTGTCTCCACCTTCTTTCTCCTGCTCACATACACGGCCATCTTAGCCTGACCCAGGACAAAGTTTAGCTGCTGACATTTGTCCTTCTGATGTCGAGTGTATTTAAAACCACAAATCAAAACCTGTTTAGTAAAAAAGTCAGTAAACCCCGAAAGATGTTTTCCAGCAGAACAAACAGCGACACGAGAAGCGTGCACTCTAAAAACCAGTGAAACACGGTGTCTTCTTGGGGTACTTACCCGTTTTCGTAAAGACACCATTGCAGTCACGGTGGACATACAACAGATGTTCCACTGTTTTGTCGTCAGGCCAGAAGACAGAAACTTCCTGAGATGTCTTTGGTATGCAGACAACAACCTGGAAAATGACATCAAGGAGTATTGCATGAAAGTGCATGTTTTTGGAAACACCACATCGCCAGCAGTTGCCATTCACTGTCTCAGACGAGCTGCTGAGGACGGGGAGAAGGAGTTTGGCAAGGATGCAAAGGACTTTGTGCAGAGAGACTTTTATGTCGATGATGGACTTAAGTCCCTACCCACAACAGAGGCTGCTATTGACTTGCTCGGAAGAACGCAGAGCATGCTGGCTTGTTCTAACCTGAGGCTACATAAAATAGCCTCAAACAGCAGAGAGGTCATGGAGGCATTCCCCACTGAAGATCACGCCAATGACCTGAAAGATCTGGATCTCGGTCTCGACTCTCTTCCCATACAGCGCAGCCTTGGACTCTGTTGGGATTTGAAGATTGACACTTTCATTTTTCAGGTGGCAGAGGAAAGGAAGCCCTTCACTCGCCGAGGAGTACTGTCAACAGTAAACAGCTTGTTTGACAGGTTGGGTTTCGTAGCACCTGTCACCGTACGAGGTAAGGCCTTACTTCGAGAACTCTCAATGGAAAAGAATGACTGGGATAGTCCATTACCTCCAGACAAAGAACAGCTATGGGAGCAGTGGAGAGGGTCCTTGAAAGAGCTTCATCACCTGAAGATCCCAAGGCCATATACAAATGTGTCTCCTACAGAGGCCCAGCACAAGGAACTCTGTATCTTTTCGGATGCTTCAGATAAGGCAATAGCAGCCGTTGCCTATCTAAAGATCTCAGACGCAGACGGGAACTGCCACACAGGCTTTATATTAGGCAAGGCAAAGTTAGCTCCACGTCAAGGACAAACCATACCTCGGTTAGAGTTGTGCGCTGCAGTGATGGCTGTGGAAATGGCGGAGCTCATTACTTCTGAGATCGATATTGAGTGTGATGCAGTGACTTTCTACACAGACAGCAAGGTAGTTCTTGGCTACATTTACAATGAAACGATTCTATGTTTATGTCAACAACAGGATCCAGAGGATCAGGAGGAGCACACAGCCACAACAATGGCAGTATGTGTCCACTGAACACAACCCTGCGGACCATGCTACAAGGTCCATCCCTGCAGCCTGTCTGAAGGGCACTACCTGGCTTACTGGACCTGCATTCTTATCTCAGCCAGAGAAAACTTCTCTCAAGACAGCTGTCTTTGAACTGGTGGATCCAGATCATGATAAAGAAATTCGCACTCAAGTGACAGTGCTCTCTACCACCACCACCTGTGACAGTCGACTTGGATCTCAGCGCTTTCAGCGCTTTTCTACTTGGAAGGCTCTTAATCGGGCCATATGCTGTCTCAGACATATCACATGCCTTTTCAAGGAAACCTCAAAGGGTTCTACAGGAAGTTGCAAAGGATGGCATCATTGTGAGACACCATACACAGTCGAGGATGTCAGTCAGAGTAAAAACATCATCATTCGATCTGTGCAACAGGACACTTATGCTGACGAAATAGAACCCAACGGGAGATTCCCAAGGAAAGCCCTCTGAGGATGCTAGACCCATTTATTGATGGGGATGGGTTATTAAGAGTAGGAGGACGCATAGTGGAATCACAGTTGGGACATGAAGAGAAAAGGCCACTGATCATTCCTGGACGGCATCATGTTACATCTCTCCTTCGCAACATTTCCATGTGGAGTCACAACATCAAGGACGCCATTTTACGGAGGGCGCTGTCCGCTCAGCTGGCTACTGGATTGTGGGAGCCAAAAGGTGTGTAAACAGCTCCATCTTCAAACGCGTCCCCTGCCATAAGCTTCGGGGGTCTTGTGAAGTCCAGAAAATGGCTGACTTACCTCCAGACAGACTCAGCATGGAACCGCCCTTCACGTATGTTGGTGTTGACGTGTTTGGACCCTGGACCATCTCCACACGCCGGACAAGGGGTGGTCATGCCGAAAGTAAAAGGTGGGCAGTCATATTTACCTGTCTAAGCGTTAGAGCCATCCACCTTGAGGTCATAGAGTCCATGGACAGTTCAAGTTTTATAAATGCCCTGAGAAGGTTCCTGGCGATCCGTGGGCCAGTCAGGCAAATCCGGTCTGACCGGGGAACGAACTTCGTTGGAGCATGCAAAGATCTGGGAATCTCCTCCAATGTTGGCTGTACCTGGACATTCAATCCACCTCATTCCTCCCATATGGGAGGGGCATGGGAGAGAATGATTGGCATCACCCGCAAAATCCTGGACTCCATGCTTCTCCTATCAGGACGTATTAGACTCACTCATGAGGTGCTCACAACCTTTATGGCCGAGGTGATGGCCATTGTGAACAACAGACCACTAGTGCCAGTGTCTACAGATGCAGAAGATCCATTTATCCTCACTCCTGCCACGCTGCTCACACAGAAAAGTGGCCCTCCTCCCATTCCTCAAGGAGAGTTCAACAGCAAGGACCTGTACAAAAAACAGTGGCGGCAAGTGCAAAGCCTTTCCAGCACCTTCTGGGACAGATGGCGCAAACAGTCCTTTCTACCCTACAGTCACGAAGGAAATGGACATCCAATAGGCCAAACATCACTCCAGGCTCTGTTGTGCTCTTGAGAGACTGTCAGTCCAAGAGAAATGACTGGCCTTTAGGACTCATAACGCGAGTATTTCCCAGCAAGGATGGAAGAGTTCGTAAGGTAGAGGTGAAGACTAACAGACGGGATGGAACAAAACTGTTTCTCAGGCCTGTTACGGAAGTGGTCCTGCTGCTCCTCCCTGAGGACTAAGAACAAGTAACTTAAACTGTAAAGGTGGCAAATTGTGGTATCTAGTGATATCAGGCGGGGAGTGTGCTGTTTTATTATGATAGACATTTTAAGTTACTTAGAACTCCCCCTGCTGGTGGGTTTTGTATAGCAGCCATTTAGGGTTAGGTGATCTGTGTCTCTACTTGATGACATCATCAGTAAGCATCAAGGAAGTTCTCCATGTAAGAGCCTAGGAAAAGCTCAGTCTTTCATCAGTCATCATCCTGACATTTGGGTCTTTGAAAGCATCGTTGGTATGTAAAATAAACTTAAGAGATCATTTGTTGATATGTTTGTATATATATTTTCACAGAACAGTGGGTAGGTGTCTATGTTGGCCACATGTGCTAGCTAACTACCAGTGAGAAAAGTGTATATAAATTGCATTTAGCTACATTATGCTTACCAGTAGCTTATCCTTTTGATTTAGTATCTGTAAATACTGTGTACAATTTGAGTTTATTTCCTGTGCTCTCTACAGTGGCAATTCTGAGACCTCTGATATATGTTTTGTTTTTCTTTTTGTCAGTTTTACCCTACTGCCAGTTGCTACATTAAAAGAAAGTCAAGTTGGAACATCTTTGTCAGTGTAGTAATTGGGGATGGAGTTCATCTGCCTGTCAATTCATGCAAGGCGTGTGAAGAGGACAGAACACACGGTCTCCCTCTGCAGACAGAAAGGACAATGGTCCTGTACGTTCCCATTCAGCACAGACACAAAAGACTTTACAGCCAGTATTCCATGAAGGACGCTCCACTGTAGGTCTGCATGTCTCTTTGTCAGGGGGGGTTTATACAGAGACCTCCAGCACTTAAACCCAAATGAGTCCTCCAGGGTGTCGCTACGTCCGTTAAGTGTCTTTTTGTTGAGCGTTTTTACCAACAGAGGCATCCCTCAGAGACACAGCTGACATTTAAGGCAGCAGCCATTTCCACTTATTCCAACACGTTCTCACTCCCGACTCCTCACATATTGACGCTTTGGTCGCTTTTTACTGCCCTGGGTACCCCTGTAGCGTCATGATCAACACCATCAGCAACAATAAATAGGCAACGTCCGGTAAGACTTTGAAAATAACACGCTTATGTTTCGAAACATCGCCATTTTGAAACAGCATGTTTTTAAATTCTAGAAACGTTGCAGTTTAGGTTTAGGCACAAAAAGTACTTGCTCATGGTTTGGGTTAAAATAACTACGTAGGTCTGTTAACACGGGTCCTGGCAATGCGTCCATACGTGATGAGTCAGAGAGTGAGAACGAGTTGACACTTGATTTCCCAGACAAAACTCCTAAATATTTCAGACCTCCTGTTTTCCAGAAGAGGCCTCCAGGCAGACTGAGCTGACTCCTCAGCCTCTCTCCCACCATCACAGCCTCACTCTTCACCCAGTTCACTTTAGCAGATGATATCAGGCCATACAGATTTTAAGGTTTTCTCCAACACATCAGTATCTCTCTGCTTGTTTAGCAGGACAATGATATCATCTGCATATGCAGACAGTTTAAGAAGAACGTTACATTTAGGAAAACAGACACCAGAGAGAGAGCAGACCTTAGTCTGTGAAGCAGAGGTTCAATGGCCAGAGAATATAACATGCCAGACAGAGAGCAGCCCTGCCTCACCCGCCTCTGTACACTAAAGGGAGCGCTCAGGCCTCCATTGGTCTTCAGAACACTTGCAGTGTCACAGTACAAAACCTGGATCTTGGCTATGAAACGTGGGTTGAAACCAAAGGCAGTCAGAGTCCGCCACAGATACTGGAGTTCAGCCCGATCAAAAGCCTGTTCCTGGTCTATTGGAATCAGACCAGTATCTGCAGCCAATGAACGAGAGTCTCCTCATTCTGTCCAGTTAAATATGGTGTGTCTCAGGGGTCGGTCTTAGGACCCATTTTGTTTTCCTTGTATCTGCTTCCCCTTGGACATATTATCCATAAACATGGCATTTCTTTTCATAATTATGCTGATGACACACAAATATACTTGCCCGTCAGATCCACAGACCCTGGAATGCTGAGTTCACTTAACAACTGCCTTTGTGAAGTTAAAAAATAGATGTCAAATAATTTCCTCCAGCAGAACTCAGACAAAACAGAAATCCTGGTCATCGGGTCTCAGCAGATGGCAAATCAAATACTGCCATCTGCTGGTTCCCTAGTAAATCACATTAAGCCTGTTGCAAAGAACCTTGGTGTTTGGTTTGATAGTAATTTAAATTTCGAGCAGCACACCACAAAGCTTGTTCAATCATGTTTTTATCAACTTAGAAATATAGCAAAAATTCGATCTTTGTTAACTTTTAAGGACACCGAGACCATTTTACACGCCTTCATCTCATCACGCCTGGATTATTGCAACAGCCTTTTCACCTGTTTAACCCAAAAATCTATTGATCGACTCCAGACTGTCCAGAACTCAGCTGCCAGGCTTTTAACCAGAACAAAGAAATATGACCACATTACTCCTATTTTAGCTTCATTACACTGGCTCCCAGTATGTTTTAGAATTGACTTTAAAATTCTATTGATCACTTTTAAAGCTCTTCATGGCCTCTCGCCTCGTTATATTTCTGAACTTTTAGTCCCATACGCACCAGCACGTACCTTGAGATCCTCGGGCAGAGGTCTGTTGTCTGTTCCAGAGTCTCGACTGAAAACTAAAGGGGACAGAGCGTTTGCTGTCAGGGCCCCGAGGCTCTGGAACAGCCTGCCCGAGGAAATCAGGTCGGCTGAGTCAGTGAACTCTCTTAAGTCCCTTCTTAAAACATACTTTTATAGGAGAGCCTTTCCCGATCTTATTTGACTTTATTTTATCCCTTTTATTTTATTCTATTTTACTAATTTTATATTAATTTTTCATGCTCTTATCTTGTTTTTTTGTATTATTCTTTACACTTGTTAAAGCACTTTGTAACTTGTTTTTGAAAAGTGCTCTACAAAATAAGGATTATTATATTATAGAGACTTCCAAAACGTCTCGAAACAGAGTGATAGTGTCACTGATAAACCTGCTGGGTTCACAGTAGGTCTGGTCACTGTGAATGACAGACCCCATCTCCTGTCTGAGTCTGTAAGCCAGGACTTTAGACAGGATTTTGTAGTCCGAGCAGAGTCGTGACACAGGCTCCAGTTTTTCAGCTCCTGAAATCACCCTTCTTTGGTAGCAGAGTGATCACTGCCCTCCTGCAGCTCAGAGGGAAACTGTCAAACTGCTTCCAGCTCTACATTGTTTTCATCACTGACCTGAGGAAGATCAGCGTAGAAGAGCTCGTCTACCTCTGGATGGTCTGTCAGCTCGCTCCTGTACAGGTCTTTGTAGAAACTGGCTGCATGTTTTCTGATCTCAGAGGAATCGGAGATGGAAACTCCGTCTCTGGATCGAATGCAGTGAAGAAGAAATGTGACGGAGCGTCCATCTGTGTGGCGTCCAGGAACCGAGACCTCACCAAAGCCCCCTGAGCAGTCACACCCAGCAGGCTGGCCAAAGCCAACTTTTTAGATCAAAGGTATAAAATACCAAGAAGCACCGTTTAACAGAACAGTAAACGAGACAGTGATCAGTAAAACCCCCAGGATCAATAAAACAACCTTTAAAAACATTGATGTGATGCTTAAAACAGTAAAAAATAAAACATTCTCCATGTGTACAGCAGCTCGTGTGTTTCTAAGAGCCCAACTGCAGCTGGACGTATGGCTCAGAACAAGCTGCCCTGGCCACTCTCTCCTCCGCTGACTTCGTTTTCACAGTTACTGTGTTTCCTGAACCATCAGTACGTCCAGCTGAGCAGCTCTTTTTGTGTCGTCTCTCGCTCCATTTAACTTTAATGTGGCAATTTTAAAGCGACCCACGAAGAGAGAAGAAATAAATAAATAAATGATGATAAATGATAAATCTCCTGCTCTGTGAGGCCTTCATCACCAAAACCACCAGAACTTCTGGTAAGAGGCTGAGCTGAACTGACAAAAAGCTTCAGGTCTGGGAAAAAATCTCAACCTTCACCAGCCTGAGACTCCCAGTGTCCTTTTATTCTTTAATCAAATGTCCCTCCACACCACAGCCAAAACATTTCATGGTTTCCAAAGCTGCAAAAACCATATAATTGAATCCATCCACATTGAAATTAAAAGACAAGTTCAGTTCTGCTGAGTTTTTCTTTAACACCATGAAAACCTGCTATCTGTGACTAACAACATGTTTTAACAGTGGAGACTTCCTGCCCAGCTGTCCAGGTACCTGTCCGTACACAATAAGCCATTTCTGAAGAACGGGGGGGCGTTGGAGGTGGAGATTTTCCTGGCTGTGTTGACCAGAGGGAGAACAAGGGTGAAGGTATCTTTAATTATGAGCCCTTTTTCTACCACATCGTTCACTTTGTCAGTGTGATCCCAGAATATGACGATGGCTCCGTTCAAACAGGAGGCAGACTTCACGCTGCTGTAACCCACCACCTCTCCACCGTTAAACTCGCCTCCTCCACCGAGCTGCTGGCAGCCGGCAGCAGCTTCACAAAGTCCACATGGGCACGCTGCCCAGCCAAGCTGGAAGCACCGCCACCAAACACAACCACAACGACCAATGACTGACTCAAACACAAAGTCTGGAACCTCCCTCAGCTTCCACTCAGAGAGAGAGAATCAGACACACACAACTGTCATGTTATATAAACAGGAAGTGATGTCAGTGTCCTGACCTGTGACACTCAGCCATCTCCGAGGAGATTCTTCAGTCTGATCAAAATAACACCAGTAGAGACCTTCATCAGACTGATTGATGTTCCTGATGGTAAACTGTCCTTCAGGTCCAGATCCAAGTTTAGAACCATCCCTGAAGAAAAAGGCTTCGAGTGCGACCTGATCTTTGCTTCTACAGCGCAGAGTGACATCACTTCCTGCCATCACAGGAAGAGCATAAATATCCAGAGTAACCTGAGCATCATCATCTGAAGAAAGAAAACAGAGTTAGTCCATCAGACCAGAACCATATTCAGAGTTAGACCTGTCAGACCAGGGCCTCATTTCTAAACGTAGCGTGCAGATAAAAGACGGCGTTCTCCACTTTCTAAGCAAACTTTGAGATTTCTAAAAAACGTGCGGTCCTCCACGGTAACTCTTAAATGAATAGAAAACATTTGAGTGACAGATCTTTCAGAGTCCAGCTTCTGTCACACAAGACAAGTCTTATTTCCTTTAAGTCCTCGGCAGCCTCGTTAATTCAGTCGATGGAGTCTCTGCGTTCAGGACTTCATCTGCACGGCCCCTTGAGCAGGAGGTTCAGCGGAGCTTTAGCTTTTCTCTCCCAATTTGCCGTCTTTATCTTCATGCAGTCAGCATGTATTAATATTAATTATTATTTCTAGGCAGCTATGGCCGTTAAAAGGGCGGGACAAGGAGCTGCTCACCTGGGCCACATTTTGAACTGATTGTATTCATAAAGGGAAATCAGCGCGGGACGTATGGACTGTTAAACATCTGAAGATTTAAACCCTTTCTGTTTTGATCTGTACGCAAACGTCTGACTTTAATCCTACGTAAAGTTTAATAAATGAGGCCCCAGAGTCATAAACAGACAGTTAGATCCTGACCTCATACAGGAGGCAGACTTCACGCTGCCATAACCACCACCTCTCCTACCGCTAACACACACAGTATAAACAGGAAGTGATGTCAGTGTCCTGACCTCTGACACTCAGCCATATCCGAGGAGATTCAGCAGTCTGATCAAAATAACACCAGTAGAGACCTTCATCAGACTGTTGGAAGTTCCTGATGGTAAACTGTCCTTTAGGTCCAGATCCAAGTTTAGAACCATCCCTAAAGAAAAAGGCTTCGAGTGCAACCTGATCTTTGCTTCTACAGCGCAGAGTGACATCATTTCCTGCCACCACAGGAAGTGCAGAAATCTCCAGAATAACATGAGAATCTGAAGGAGAAGAAAACAGAGTTAGTCCATCAGACCAGAACCATCTGTCCATCTTCAACAGAGAGAGAGTCAGTGCTGGTTTTCTCTTCCATCAGCTCACCTGCAGAATCAGTCAGTCCAGACAGCAGCAGCACAGACACACCTGCAACAGGAAGACAGGGGTCACTGAAGGTCAGGGGTCACTGAAGGTTAGAGGTCACTGAAGGTCAGAGGTCACTGAAGGTCAGAGGTCACTGAAGGTCAGGGGTCACTGAAGGTCAGAGGTCACTCAAGGTCAGGGGTCCCTGAAGGTCAGAGGTCACTGAAGGTCAGAGGTAGCTGAAGGTCAGGGGTCACTGAAGGTCAGGGGTCACTGAAGGTCAGAGGTCACTGAAGGTCAGGGGTCACTGAAGGTCAGAGGTCACTGAAGGTCAGAGGTAGCTGAAGGTCAGGGGTCACTGAAGGTCAGAGGTCACTGAAGGTCAGACGTTGGAATAAAGTTGTCTAAAAAGGGTAACACAGATTTGGGTGCTAATTTTTCCTTCCTGCTTCATAAACAGTGAAAACAGCCCGGGTGGATTTTGACCTGGGAGGACAAACGTCACATGGTCGACAGGATGAAAATACAAAAGTCCATCTGAGTCTAAAGCTGAAGTCTGATCAGAAATAATAAAGAGAGAAGTGTGAGGGAAACCTGACTGGAACTGGTGTCTCCAGTATTCAGTGTTTCAGGAATCAGCAGTTTGATTGTTTTTCTGATTCTTCATCAGGTTTGGTGAAACTCAGTGTCCACATTAATAACCATGGAAATGTCACAGTTAGAGAGGAAGTGACACATGAAAGCCAGATAAGATTAGAATGTCTCAGCTGAGCTTTCCTGTGTGAAAGGTGGTGCTGAAAACGCCTCTGATCTCAGAGTAACAGAGTTACAAACTCATCCCAAGTCTCTTAACTGGATCCTCGTTTCTCTCGCTTGCATCTTTTCTCGAGTCTTTGTCCCTCCCAGCGGGGACGCAGGGAAAGACAAAAATCACTAGAGGAAACTGGGAAATATGAGATATACAGAAATATAATATAGAAAAATGAGCCAAGTGTCCCATGAAGCAAAGTCTGTCTGTGCAGACGGCTCTAACAGCTGCAGAGACTTTTAATAGACCTCATTAATTATCTGTCTTCATCCTCGGCTTTTCCTTTCTTTGCATGTTGTTTTATTTATTTACTTTGGATTGTAGCTAACTAGCATGTGTTGGCACGTAGCATTATTTATTGCTGCACAGTAACATCATGTGCATATTTATTATGTTGTATATATGAATTATGAAATAATATCTTTTTAACAGGGAGGACAGAAATGCAGTGAAAGTCATTGGCAGTTGTTATCAGCTGCTGATCAGTGAGCCTGTTCCCTGTCAAACAAACTGATCAAAACACAGAAAGCTTCTTTATCACTTGAGATGTCCTCGTGGCTTCATGGTGGAAGAAATGAACCATGTGACTGCAGCGTTCAGCAAAAAGCTTTTTCTATCACTTCTATTAAAGAGGAAAACATTCCAATAGTTTCATCTTCAATCATTTTGTAGTTCAGAAGTTAAAAGAAGACAAACATGTTTCACAGTTAAACCTCAGATGTGTCAAAGTCATGTGACAGCAGTCTGACAGTGAGGAGAGTCCAGGTCTCAGTCTGGATCAGGTCTCAGACTCAGTTCTGGTTCCTCTGTATGAGTGCAGACTCTGAAGTGTGTTGGAGCTGTGATGGATGGATGGATGGATGGATGGATGGATGGATGGATGGATGGATGGATGTGTTGGACTCACCGAGCAGCAGAGACACAGATGAAGCCTTCATGTCGTCTGGATGTCGACTGTCAGTCAGTCTGAACAGCAGAGTGACGCCTTCAGCTTCACTTCCTCTTTAACACATTCAGCGTGTCATTGGCTGCGCTGCGTGTTGCCCTGCTGCTCATGATTGGTGCTTGACAGCGAGGGCGGGGCTTCCTGCTCTAATGGGATGCAGTGTCGTGTAGGGGTGAATCCCAATCTCCGGACACACGCAGTCACGGGGAACGCAGCATAAAGTCCGTGAGGTCTTTGGGCTGTTCCACTGTCAAATCGTCAAGTGCATAAAGGCTCTCTCGCAGACTTTGCTTGAGGGAATTACCCACAGTTCATAGCACTGTGATGTTAACACAGGAAGCCGGCGTTAAAAAACAAAACAAAAAGGTAAACAAACATGAAGTGTACATGTCAGTGTGAGATGCTGTTTTAAATAAAACGGGTAAAATTTCTCTTCCTCTTGTCCACAGCTAATTTTGAAATGATCAATATTGGCCCAGGCTTTAGGGTGGAGATTGGGAGTGTAGGTGAAAATCCACCTCAACAATACCAACCAATCATTACTGCAGAAAGGGTCACATGTCAGGTGACTTCCAAGGAAGGATAAAATCAGGGAGGGATGCCTCTGACTGGGCTGGGGGACAGTTGGCCTGGTTCTCCCGCGTTATCGCTCCCTGGCGGCAGGGAGCTTCCCGGCACGGCTTTCTGCTGTTCTTCCTTGGGGCGGGGTACAGCTTCCCCCGGGACATGTGGTCTGCGGTCCTTTGCGCTTTGGGGGGTCGCAGGGTGCCCTGGCTTCTGGGGGTGGGGGTCTCTGCGCGGGTTGATCTGATTGCGGTTTGGAGGGCTGCGTTGGGATTGTGGGGCGATTGTCGATGCATCTTGATGCATTGTGCTTTTTCCCTCTGCAGGGTCTCTGAATGGCTGCTGGGCGTTTAGTTTGTGCATTGGAGTTCGGGGGAGGCATTTCCTTGTTGGCTTGGAGGGACCAGTTTGCGTCCCTGTCTTGCTTCGTTGGCCTCGGATCCATGCTTCCCCATTTCTCTGTCGGCCAGTTGTTGGACCTCTCTGGATACTGAGGTATAGTTAGTTTTCGGGATGTGCAGTGTGGGCAGGGCTGTGTTCCGGTTTGTTCTGGGTTTGTGCCTGGAGTTCTCGGCCCTTGACGGGTGGGTGGGTTGTTGGTGGCATGCAGCTGAGCTGGTTGATTTTGCCTCGTTGCTGGTGTGACTGGTGTTGCACGGCGGCTGGGGGACACGCTGGGCATTGGGGATGTCGGCTGCGCCGTGGTCGGTCCGGGCGCTGCTCTTCCGCGGGTTACGCTTTTTGCGTTCCGTCTGCATTACATTGTCAACTGGCATTTGGGTCGGGGTCTTCTGCGTTTGCATCGCGGTGCATCTGGGAGTCTTTGTTTTTTTTTGATTGATTTATCCTTTTTCTTTCTCCCACCCCTATTGGCTACTGGGGTTCTTGCCTGCCTGTTACAGTCGTGGCGTCCTACTCTCACTAACAACTACATTCTTTAACAGGCTTATGCGCACACACATGTACATACACACACATACAGACACATTCACCCACACGCACACAGACACACACAGACACAAACAAACTTAGGTTGTCCCTGGTAGAATTATTCCTGATGCTTTTCTTTCAGTTACTTATTTAAATTAATTATTATTCCAGCTCTCGTGGCTGTGTTGTGTTGCTTATTTAGTGTGTGTGACTGTTTCTTGTTTTCATTTTTCTCTTAGTTGTCTTACTATGTCAGCTGTTTATTGCTGCTGTTCGGCTGGTTGTCTTTTACTATTATTATTATTTTTATTGTTTGTTTTTGTTTGTGTTTGTTTGTTGTTGTTTTTCTCCTCCCCCCTCTCTGTTCTGCTGCAGGTTTCGTTGCTTTCTGCAATTGGTGTTTCCCAGACAAAGGAGTATATTAATACTCTCTTGTTAAAGTTAAATCTGTCAGGCACAATATCCAGGTCATCATACTCTATACTAGGCTGCTGAGCAGGACAGGGTTAAAAAATACAACAAAAAAAAAAACAAGTTCAGTGCAAACACTGTAAGGCAGGAGTTGACATTTCACGGCAGCGCTACGGTGATGCAAGATCATATTAAATGCACCGTGGAGCTGTGACGTCTACCGTTACTCTCAGTGGGTATATGTTAGCAGCCCTTTTGTTAGTAATGTAGCATTTGTTAGTTTACCTAAAACAAGTCTCATTGATGGTGCTGGCTATGACTGGTGTAGAATTGAACAAATAAAGAAGTTACAACAAACACTTGTCTTTTGCCATTTATTAAAGGAAGAAAAGAAACAGGGAAGTACTTCATAGAAAACAGCTGAGTCAGACGTCTACTGTCTAGGACAGCTTCGAGTGTCTGGCCACGAGCAGAGGAGAAACATAGCATTTAAAGTAAGCAGACTGTTCTCTCACAACAGTGGCCTTGAAACTCCAGTTCACATGGAAACTGAGGACAACCAATGCTACAGATGTTGATACCGTGTTTTTTCTCCTTGTGTTGATCCTAGCGTTCATTCTGAAGAGTAAACCTCCTCCACTTAACGGTAGCTAGTTAGTCTGTGCGTGGAGTATACCAGCAATTCAGTTGTAAGATATTTAACCCTTTCATGCATGGTGTCCACATTTGTGGACAGTTATTTTAACTTAATTTAGGGTCACTACATGATGGTGGTTAGATGTTCTCCAAGTCATTTGAGGACACTTTCAGTTGCTTGATAATCCGGGTCTTGAGGGGAGCAAAAGAGTCCAGGCTGAGAGACAAAGCTGTATTATAGTGGGCGACAAGGCCACCCACCCCGGGGTCCGGGGGTTCTGAGGCCAGGTGGGTCCCTACAGTGCTGGCTAGGGATGATGCATTAACAGACTTGATGTTCCTGAATGTGATGGTGCATTTGAGTTGTTGCCTGGGCAGAAGGACCGCAACATGAAAGGATGGCACTGTGGTCAGATACAGCTAGGTCGATGCATTGCAGCTGGGAGGGAGTAGTACCAGTGGAGCACCCCAGATCCAGTGTGTGACGTTTGGTGTGAGTGGGACCTTTGACGTGCTGAATGATGCTGAGGCAGGAATTCAGAGTCCACATGGATATTGAAGTCCCCGAGCAGGAGTGTGGATGGAGATTATTTAGGGAGCGAGTGTTCAATAACATGAACATTGCAGTCCTGTTAGTAGGTGCTGAGGCATCAACACAGACCAGGGGCCTCAGATTGACAGAACACACGTGTGGTTTGTTGTGATGATGTCGTCTCACTGCGACAGAGCATCTGTCCGACGTGGGAATAGCGTGGTCCGCGTACACAAACTTACGTCGGGAACCCCTATGTACATAGCGGGGGCGATGCAGGAGTTTGAGAGATTTGATGGTATCAAGACAATTTGGTATGATGTGACAGAAGAGGTTCAGGAGCTCCGGGGAAGAGTATTTAATTAGCGACATGATGGTACGAGGAAGCAACAGCTAGCTAGCTACCGAAGACAGGGGCCCCTGTCTAGCCGGGGCAGACACCTGACGGCTAGCTGGCATGGGTGAGTAACGTTAGTCTACAGAGCCGCAGTTGTACCGAGCAACAGTCGGCAACACAGATGTTTGCAGATCCAAACGCACCTTATCCTAGTTGTCTGGACATTAAACTCAAAGAAGCTGAGTGACTCAGGTTTTGTGAAAAACACACACGCCAGCGTCCTCACTCACTCACAGATACTGACTGGTTCGATTGTTAGACAGTGCATCAGTCAGACTGACTGACCACTGATACATGCTCGGCCTTTTTATAATCTCTCACTGAAGAGAATATTATTTATATTGAGTCTAAGATACATTCAAGAGAACTGAGTGTGAGAGTGAAGGCCCATAAGGCCTCTGGCCTGATCTGAGGGTTTTTATCTCCCACAACTTCAACCTGCAGCTGATAAAACTGCTACTACAACGTTGCAGCGGGGGTTTACCTGAGTTTCCAGCATGTCGTGTGAAGCTGTCTCCCTGCCTGTCTATAGCCGCTCTCACTCTGCCAATTTTCCGGGAGTATTGCGCTGATATGCGGCTCTCTGCGCTGAATGGAAGGTACGGAGCCGGTGTTGATCTGCCTCTGAGACGGGAACGTGGAAGTAACAGAGCCTGAACATGTCTGAGTGAAAAGCCACAGCCTGCATGCTGGTGTTCCTGCGTTTATTGCAGGATTTCTGTATGAAAGCGGTCGTGTTTTGGATGATGCTCGTGAGTTCAAGCGAGCACGCGTACGAGCACACATGTGGTAGCAAACTGCACCGCTAGTGGCCGCTGGAAACTCCATAATGCCCCTTTAATAAATAGAGAGTTTAAGGATTTGGAGTTCAACGTGGAAGAGGTTGGCAATATTTTTATTCTTGTGCAATATTATAAGAAACAAGCATGTTTATACACAAGCATTTATTTTAAAACAAAATAAAGCAAAAAGACACAAGATGATACTAAGAGAAAGAGATCTGCGTTTCTGAGAAGTGTCTGTGTGTGTGAACATCAGCACATGTGGTCAAAGAACAAAGGTTCAGGGGAAGCTGTAAGTTTCCTCCTGCATATCTGTGGTTGTTTAAGTCTATTTGTGATTCTGTGTAATGGTGCAAAGTTAAAAGGAGTCAGTCAGCATGCAAAGACTGACTGTGTGAATAACATCTCTAACCTATGTTGCAGTGGCTGAGAACTGTGGGTTCATAATGTCACGTTAACAATGACCACAAAAATAAAATTTAAAATAAAAACATTCCAGTCCTGTGCTTTGCCAAGTTAATGCTACAGTTAAGCTATGTGAAGCTATGCAATGTCCAGTACGTCAGCAGTCCATAAAGGAAGAGAGTCGCTGTGGTGTTGCTAGCTGTTAGCTGTCAGGTCCTTGTGGATGGAGCCAGGTGTGAAGAGTTGTTGAGTTGCAGTCTTTGCTGAACGTAGGACAGTAAAAGTTACAGTGCAGAGTAAAATATAAATACAATAATAAAATGGAAAATAAAATACAGGTCATACTGCGTGTATGTGTACTACCAGGAGTATCTGAAGTGAGGCACAGCTGCAGAGCAAAAGGCCGAGAAGTTCTGACTGAAAAACTACATGCAACATCCAAAATAAGCTTTATTGGTCAAATGATCCAAACAGGAATGATTGAAAAATTGTTTTTCGCCGTTTTAACTCCGAAACCCGGCGATGTTGTTGCTCCGAGTCTAAGCGGGCACCATCTTGACTATTGCGCAATATCTGCAAGCTGCCTTCCTGCTGTCGTCTTTTCTGCAGAGAGGAAACATGCCTCTTGGGAACATAAGGTGTTTTTTTGCCATTTTGTGACCGATCCGTTGGAGATGCCCTCCCCATCACTGTGGGCCTGTAAAGCATGGGAGTGCTTTTGGTGACAGGAATGTTGTTGAATACTCCTGTTTTTATCAATATTTCAATGTTTTGTCATTTGGAAATAGGTTGTATGGACTGAAGAAGTGTTTTAAAGATATCTATCAATAAAAATCTGCATTTTAACAATAAATATTGCCAAAATATGGAAATTTGCCTGGTATATTTGAAAATATTGTATAATAACTGTTGTATTTTAGTTTATTACAATTGCATTCTAGGTGTATTAGAAGATATTCAGTTGCATTACAAGCTTCCTAATGATGGTTTTGATGGTTTATTGCATTAAAATATAGCTTTTTTTTTTTTACCAGGCAAGGATAAAAATATCCGATTTTTTTTTTCAAAGGATACCAGAATTATGCATCTAGGCCAAATGGTTGAGGAGTTATTCCTGATTCATTTTGGGTATGTAATTGTAGGTTTTTTTCTGGAAAAAGGGGCCTGTTTTCAACAGAGCATATATTTGCTCAGCACCTCTCTCTCTCTTTCTTGTACAAATATATTGACAACGTGTGCATTGAATGCTTAGAATCATAAACACTGCTGCACAAATCTGTCCAACACAATGTCAATGTCGGAGACCCACATTCAAAAATGTATTATTACAAGTAGCCTAGCTAATAAGGACAGCTATGTTAATGTTTGAACAGTGATCAAAATCAACTGCACCCTCCCAGAATGACTCAGAAACAAATGCTGTGTCTCAATTCAGCCCTTCCGTACTTACACTAGCTATTGCGAGTGCATAAGTGCATTCACACTGACAAGTATAGTACAAAGCAGAGTACCTGGATGGTGTACTTCCCCAGGGACGACCAACATGTTTTTAAACTTGTGAAAATGGCAGCCGAGAAAGCTGCATATGTTTTGGTGGGTGACAACTGTGGTCAAAGACGGCGATAATGATCTGCCTTTGTTGCCGTTTTGCAAAAGAAGAAGAAGAAGTGGTCAAAAGTTGCGATCCTCATTTCCAGTAAGTGCACCACATCTGTGTTCGATTTGAGAACGCACTGCACACGTACTTAATGTACACAGTGATCTGAGTGAGGCACAGCTGCAGAGCAAAAGGCCGAGAAGTTCTGACTGAAAAACTACATGCAACATCCAAAATAAGCTTTATTGGTCAAATGATCCAAACAGGAAGAGACAGAGTGTGATCAGTGAGAAGAGCAAAGACAACATCAAGTGTTCTGATGCTGAGCTGATGCTGCTGATGCTACTAACTGTAGGATTAGTTGTATCAGCAGCAGCTTCACTTTGACTGCAGTTATTGATAATATGATCTGACTTTTGAAACCGTGACAACGTGTTTGAACAGCTGAACCAAAGCATGAGTGTGAAAATATTTCTCTGACTCACTTCTGCTTTTCATGTCTTCACTGCACGCATTCATCTGGTTTTAATCACATTCTCAGCTTTGACACTGAGCTGCATCATTGTGTGTTCTTACATTGAGGTTTCATGAGAGGGCATTTTTTTGGGGAGGAGGGGGGGTGCAATCACAGTTATGTTACTCTGCTGGAACTAGAACAATAACACTGAGCTTAACAGCTTAGCGAGGAGTTCATGGTTACCAGAGCAAGGGAGGTGCTTCAGTACAGGGATTCCAAGGACCCAAGAGTATCTCAAGCTGGCATTGAGGTCAGGACTGGCAGGAAGTGGAGAGCACATGAGGCGGTGAGACAGGCAGAATCACGGCTGCGTCATAAGGAACTGGTGGGTCCCGTGGCTATTGGCCGTACAGGAATGGGTAGTACTCCAACAACCCATTACAACAAACTGAAGGGTAAGGAAAGACGGGACCTGGTCCAAAAAGAAGTGAGGGCTGGGATTAAGGAGCAGCGTGCAAGCCAGATGGTGGGAATGAGGCAACGGGTGCATGGACCAGATGGAAGATGCCATGGAGAGGAAGATTTCATGGGCAGAGCTGTGGAGGGCTGAGCCCTATCGCATCAAATTTCTCATTCTGTCTATGACACCCTGCCCAGTCCATCCAATCTCTTTTGTTGGGGCAAGGATGAGACGCCGGCATGTACCCTGTTCCAGGGAAGAGGATCGCTGGAACACATCCTCAGCAGCTGTCCTGAAGCACTTGGGGAAGGCCGCTACCGTTGGCGCCATGAACAAGTGCTGAAGGTGGTTGCTGAGTCCATCACTACTGCCATCAAGCAGAGAATGCGTTTACAACCACCAAGGCGGAAAATCTCATTCTTAAGAGCAGGAGAACCCCCGCCTTCCCGACCAACAGTTCAGACAGGCCTGCTGGGAACAGCGAATGACTGGCAGCTACGGGTGGACCTGGGAGACCAATTCAAGTTCCCCCGAGACATCGTAGAGACCAGCTCTAGACCCGACATGGTTCTGTTTTCAGCAACATTGAAGCAAGTTATCTTGTTGGAGCTAACAGTGCCCTGGGAGGAGAGGATGGAGGAAGCGAGTGAAAGGAAAAGGGAGAAATATGCGGAGCTGGTGGAGGAGTGTGGGTGGGGTGGCGTGCACAGTGCTTGCCCATGGAGGTTGGTGGAAGGGGCCTTGCAGGAAAGTCACTCTGCAGAGCCTACAGACTCCTGGGAATCACAGGAGCACGCAAGAGAAGAGCCATTAGTGCAGCTTCAGAGGCTGCAGGAAAAAGCCTCACCCTGGCTGTGGATCAGGAGGGATGAACAGTGGGTGAACGCTTATGGACACCGGCCGGGAAGTGATCATGCCCGGTCGGGTTGCCTGGGTGAGGGGGTCTGAAGTTGAAAGACCCCAAACCCCCTATGACCCCAGCTACTATCACTGATGATGTGTCCAAGAGTGCATCACAAGGTGTATGTAACAATCAACAATGCAACACAATAATAATGTATGCGGCAAGTGAGCTTATTATTGTTCTCATAGTTGTTTGTTTTACTACGCGAGATGTATTTTGACTTAGAACTTTGAAGAACAGTTAATTAATCATAATGGATAAACATTGTTTGCATTGCACTTGACTTAGTTATTTAAGTTTACTGTTATTGGTGTAGAGCAGGCTCTTACATTGACGCTTGTTCTGGTAATTGAGTACCGTTACTTTCAGAGAGGCTCTCAGTTTTTGTTGTTAGCTGTTGAACCAGAGAAGGAGGAAGAGACTAGCTGCGGAGTCACATGGTTTTTATACCGTGTCCTGAGTTGTAACTGATATTATCCAGAAAGAAAATTTGTGGACATGTGTGGAATTAAGTCTGTGCATTTTACCAACTAACATCTGACATCAAGTGGACAGTTACAGAACTGCTTTGGTTGGGACACGTGTGCCACAACGATCAGCTGGTTAACAAATAGTTCTGTTACTATGTGAGACCACACAAGGCTGCTGCATGTTTTCTATCTGTTATACTGTTGCAGCTCTTTCTTACAAAAACTAAAACTAATGAGAAGCTACTTACTGACTGGACTGTCCCAGAAGACACTTTTGTTCTAGCTAGAACCAAACTACATACAAAAACTGCTTTAATTGGACTTGGCTGTTTTTGACTCTGGAGGGGTGGGCTGGACCGGGACAAAAATCGTCCCTGGCATTTTTGGCCCAGACCGGCAAACTACTAAAGGATTTAATCCCTCTGAGTCTCACCAGGTGGATCAGCATCTGGATGTTGAAGGCCGCCCCGTTCACCCAGACCTTCAGAGCCTGAGACGACATGTGCCGTCCCTCACCGTGGAGTTCTTCAGCTGTAGCTCGATCCGTTTGATGTCGCTCGTCTGCTCGTTGTCATTGTTGATGTTCATCATGCATCTCTTCAGACACTCGTAGATCTGATCCCAGACCTCGGAGCCGTAGCGCCCATCTGTTCTGGTCTGAGATGCTGCTGCTCTAGTGCAACATTTAGTGGCAGTGAATGTTGCATATTTGTCAAATAAGAGAATATGATTATCTGACAGAGAAGCAGAGGACAGAATAGGGCTTCCCCCTCGCACTAGGCTTCTCCTCTGCCTCAGGTTCCTGTCCTAACACCTCTACAGCTGCTCCCTCTCTTGAGGAACAGAGATTAGCATTCCTGACATTTTAGAGACTTGTTAGAAAACAAGGGGCCTTACTGAAATGTTGTGAAGGAAGCCTTGGATGAGAGGATGAAAGGATCAGGTCCAGAGAATCATCAACCTTTCAATAGATCAAAATGATCTACCTGGTTTTATTTAGCAAAGCTTAAAAACATACAAAGCCTACGTCCAGAAACACTTTGAGATAGAAGAGAATAAAAAGAGGAAAGAAACCAAACAGAATTCCTGAGTCTGAAAAGGCTGCAGAAATGTAAAAGCTGACAAAAGGTCTGAGCAAAAAGGAAAAGAGCTCTGAAAGACCTAGAAGGTCCAAAAGGTCTTCAAAGATCTGACTTCCCTCAGAACTCCTCCTTTTCTACAATGGAGCTGAGGGGGTTTTAGCAAATCTACCAAAAAGCAGGGCTTCTACAACAAACAGACGGGGACAAATGAAAGGAAGAAGCTGAATCAAAGAGAGGAGGAACATCAGATGCAGATGCTTCGTGCAGCAGGGTCACTGAACGCTTTGGTGAGGATGAAAATGATGTGAATAAAATGCTGCGGCCTTTACAGTCACCAGATCTCAACCCGGTTTCACACCTGTGGAAGATTCTGGAGCAACGTGTAAGACAATGCTCTCCAGCAGCATCTCCATAAGAGCAGATGATAGAAACTCTCATCTTCAGATCCATCATGTTATTGATCAGAGTCCATGTTAAAGACAGCTGCTGTCACTCTGTTCACAGCTCAGAAGGCGTGCTCAGTGGTGACATCAGCAGTGATGTCATCATAATCGCCATCCAATTCGTCACTTCCTCCAACCCGCTGGGTCATCTCCATGGAGACGGCTGGTTTGTTTCCTGTCTTCCTGCTGCAGCAGATGGACAGCATCAGACCAGTAGAGACGCAGTATGGACAGAAGACCACTAGATGGCAGCAGAGTCTGAGCACAGACAGAGAGGAGTCTGACGGAGGAGAACAAGAATCACAGTCAGTGGTGTGTGTGCACGGAAGGTAGCATTGAACTATCTTGGTACAATGCATCATTAGACTAACCGACATCTGAAGTACGACCGTTTCCCAAAACTGTCGTACCTTGTTGGTACCACCATGGTTTCAACTAACTTAGTTTGACCAACATACCAACATAGCTCAAACTAACATGTTTCCAGATGTGTTCGTCAGTTTTTCACAGCAGGAAACTCACCAAACGGTGTCATATTCTGCCTAAATAGGTCGGATGTGACCGATATTAAGTGACATTATTATGCTTACTTATTAGTTGGGCTTTTAATAATATATTCGTATACCGTCGATAATAAGAATTTCACACAGAAATATCAATCATAATACCACTACTACAGTGGGTACGGAAAGTATTCAGACCCCTTTAAATTTTTCACTCTTTGTTTCATTGCAGCCATTTTCCAAAAATCAAAAAAGTTCATTTTATTTCTCAGTAATGTACACTCAGCACCCCATCTTGACAGAAAAAAAACAGGAATGTAGAAATTTTTGCAAATTTTTAAAAAAGAAAAACTGAAATATCACATGGTCATAAGTATTCAGACCCTTTGCTCAGTATTTAGTAGAAGCACCCTTTTGATCTAATACAGCCATGAGTCGTTTTGGGAAAGATGCAACAAGTTTTTCACATCTGGATTTGGGTATCCTCTGCCATTCCTCCTTGCAGATCCTCTCCAGTTCTGTCAGGTTGGATGGTAAACGTTGGTGGACAGCCATTTTCAGGTCTCTCCAGAGACGCTCAATTGGGTTTAAGTCAGGGCTCTGGCTGGGCCATTCAAGAACAGCCACAGAGTTGTTGTGAAGCCACTCCTTCGTTATTTTAGCGGTGTGCTTAGGGTCATTGTCTTGTTGGAAGGTAAACCTTCGGCCCAGTCTGAGGTCCAGAGCACTCTGGAAAAGGTTTTCGTCCAGGATATCCCTGTACTTCATCTTTCCCTCGATTGCAACCAGTCGTCCTGTCCCTGCAGCTGAAAAACACCCCCACAGCATGATGCTGTCACCACCATGCTTCACTGTTGAGACTGTATTGGACAGGTGATGAGCAGTGCCTGGTGTTCTCCACACATACCGCTTAGAATTAAGGCCAAAAAGTTCTATCTTGGTCTCATCAGACCAGAGGATCTTATTTATCACCATCTTGGAGTCCTTCAGGTGTTTTTTAGCAAACTCCATGCGGGCTTTCATGTGTCTTGCACTGAGGAGAGGCTTCCGTCGGGCCGCTCTGCCATAAAGCCCCGACTGGTGGATTGCTGCAGTGATGGTTGACTTACTACAACTTTCTCCCATCTCCCGACTGCATCTCTGGAGCTCAGCCACAGTGACCTTTGGGTTCTTCTTTACCTCTCTCACCAAGGCTCTTCTCCCCCGATAGCTCAGTTTGGCCGGACGGCCAGCTCTAGGAAGGGTTCTGGTTCTGGATTTTTTTGTAACCTTGGCCAGATCTGTGCCTTGCCACAATTCTGTCTCTGAGCTCTTCAGGCAGTTCCTTTGACCTCATGATTCTCATTTGCTCTGACATGCACTGTGAGCTGTAAGGTCTTATATAGACAGGTGTGTGGCTTTCCTAATCAAGTCCAATCAGTATAATCAAACACAGCTGGACTCAAATGAAGGTGTAGAACCATCTCAAGGATGATCAGAAGAAATAGACAGCACCTGAGTTAAATATGAGTGTCACGGCAAAGGGTCTGAATACTTATGACCATGTGATATTTCAGTTTTTCTTTTTTAATACATTTGCAAAAATTTCTACATTCCTGTTTTTTTCTGTCAAGATGGGGTGCTGAGTGTACATTACTGAGAAATAAAATGAACTTTTTTGATTTTTGGAAAATGGCTGCAATGAAACAAAGAGTGAAAAATTTAAAGGGGTCTGAATACTTTCCGTACCCACTGTATAAATCCATAAGGTCAATTTATTATAATTAACATTTATGCATTGCTAATATTTATTGTCCGATTGTTGACGACACTCCTTTTTCATGCTTTCTTCACCTCACTCTCTGCTCACTCAGACACAGCTTATATCACTTATAAACGCATATCTTAAAATCATCTGCAAAGCCCTAGCCAGAAAACTAGAGAAGGTCACTCCTTGTTTAATACATCCAGACCAAATAGGATTTCTTAAGGGCAGGCACTCCACCTACAATACACTCAGGCTACTTAATTTAATAGTCTACGCCACTATTCATAACACAAAATGTACACTACAAGTATTTATGCAGATGATGTATTACTATTCCTCCTAAACTCAAACTTCTCTTTCTGTTTTCTGTTTTCACTTTTACCTTCAATTCAATTTTATTTACATAGCGCCACATCACAACAACAGTTATCTCATAGCACTTTTCGTAAAAGAGCAGGTCTAGACCACAGACCACCAAGAGCAAGCACTAGGCAACAGGCGAATGATAACAGACTTTCTTAAACTCTCGCCCCCAAAACTGTTATCAGAGATGAACATGTTACTGTTGAAAACATATGGTTCAGTCTCTCTCCAGTTCTTAAAGTTGGAGACAGATCTATCCATTAGTCCTGTCCAAAGCTTTTGGACACAAATATATTTAAATACTTTTAGAATGACTAAAAATCACAATATCCAACTCTCTCTCAGAACACTCTCCACAGAACACACCATACAGGACAAAGGATGTTTAGAATGGGTCTTATGCAGTCAAACATATGCTTGAACTGTTCAGGTAACATCTTGGATAGTGACATGCATGCCATGTGGCTATGTGCACCTGGCAGAAGATATGTTAAGACTTATCCATTTGGCTAAGATACCTGGTCCCAGTTTCTCCATCACTCTGCTGTGTTGCACATTTATTTTGCTTGACTTTTTCTCCTTTTCTTTCTCCATCAGCTGTTTTCTTATGTCTGCTGTTTATTGCTGTTGCTCAGCTTGTTGAGTCTATTTTAGCAGCAGCCACTATCAATTAATTTATTTCATATTTTTTGCTGCTATCAAAGTAATCTGGCCTCCTATTGCCGACCACTGGTCTAGGAAGTCCATTCTCACCCACTCTGCTAACAATATAGTCGTAAAGATTCTACAAGGTGGATCCCGTTCTCCAGTCAGCCCCCAGCTCCTTCGCAGACTCACATGAATCTCAGCTCAACTCCAGTTAATCCTCAGGGCAGCTCACATCCCTGGCCACTACAACACCATTAGTGATTCATCGCCTCGTCTCTCGTTTGAAAATTCAGTCACTTGGCCCCAGAATCAGATTTTCATCCATACCAGTCTCCTGTTTTCAGCCATATCATTCAACTAGCTCCAGAACTGGGAACCCTCTCTAACACTGGACACAAACCCATCCTCGACAACCTCGGCCCGAGTACTCTCTCAGCAGCATACCTACTGTAACTGTCTGGAATCAATTCAAGGCATCATGTCAACTTTCAGCTGTCATTTCCCTATCAGGACCTCATGTCCAACACTATTTCATCACATATGCTTTTTCAATCCATATCTGGTCCTCCACTAGTTGGCAAAAATCAACTTCTCCATCAAACTAGTCTCCGGCCTCTATTGTCCTTCTATTGTCCATTCTCAAGTTACCATGCGAACTGAGGCTTGCAGAAACTTGAACCCACTCTTAATCCGACTCTTTTTGGGTGCTTGAAACAACCTTGGATGAACACACTTCCGAGACAGAACCCCCACACCTTCTACACCTGGTCTTGTGTACAACCTCCCAGACCAGCCTATCAGACGACATCCTTCTTCCATCATCACCCTTCCCCTTCTTCTGTGTATGCATCAATCTGTCCTCTATAATCTATACATTCCCCATTTGCATTAAACCTCTAAATAACATATGGTTGTGGTGTGGTCCTTGCTAATGATATCATTATGGTTCATGTTTGTCTTTCTATAGTCAACACAAGCTGTTTATGAAATCCTCCTGGACTCTCCACCTGTCTTCACTGATTTATTCTGCTGCTGTTCAACTTGTTCTGGATCTTTTTAGTAATAATTAACTTCTAGCTCACCTGCAGAAACAAGCAGTCCACTCAGCAACACAGCAGCCACTGAAACAGGTGGACAGTGGTCACTAAAGGTCAGAGGTCAACAGACAGACAAATAGAGACAGACTTTCATCAGCTCACCTGCAGCAGTCAGCACAGCTAAAGCAGTCAGCACAGCCAGACCTACAAAAGGAGAACAAGGTTTACTAAAGGTCAGAGGTCAGCAGGTTAACTTTGTATTCAACAGTTCAGTCAGGACAACTTTCATCAAAAAACTGATATTTGCGACATTATAGTTATGTTTGGCGGTATGGCTCCGTTCTGGGATCTCCCTGCCCTTCCACATGCCACGTGGAAAGCCAGAGGCAGAGAGCAGCAGTAATGAACCCTCGTACAGAACAGAGCAGGAGTGCTGAATAACAGGATTAAACAGATACTAGATGGCACTGAAACATTGTGTTAAATGGGCCCGGGCCCTGTCAGCAGTGAACTGTGTCTGTGTGGCTCTATTGATGAGCAGCAATATGACATCCAGAGCGCGACAACAACAGCAACGGCACATGTTAGCATTATTTGATTTGCCAAAATCCTGATATGATTCCGATAATGAAAAATGAACAATTTTTGTACTTATCGGATTAATAAATCCGGATTAATAAATCCGATAAGTAAGGCGGAGCCCGGATGGCGGCGAGTTATGAGCTGTTTGCAGAGGAAGCAGCGAGGACAGGCAGGCTAGAACAGTTTAAATAAGGCACCTTGTATGGAATTTGGCATAGAAGGCTAAGATATTAGTCAACTGAGCTGTCAGCTGATGTGGCTGACTTAAGATGGCTGCTATGAGCTGAGATGAGCTTGACTTCGTTGCCTGTCTGGACAAGAATCGTGGGGCAAATAAGAGTTTGCAGCAGTGAGGTAATACTTTACTCTATCTTTCCTACTCTTGAGGTGCTATTTCTTTGCACTTTTACTGAGCAATCCACTAGAATCTGAAGGCCGGCTGAGCGAGATCAAACAACTGGGTGTGTGTCCCACCCACTGAAACCAAGCTTTTGTCTTGTAAATCCGGAGGGCGATCTCAGCTGGGTGCAATCTTTCTTAATGCCCAACACCTGTGTGCAAATAGACTCACAGTACTTCAGTGAAACCTACCACTGAAGCGTCAGCGTGGGCTCCTTGTGTGAAGACCTACTTGAGTAAAGACCAACGAGTCTACCTGTGCGAGTCCACTGAGCAAGGCCGCCTACAAGAGAAGCTTTTTCCCTTTCCGAGGCACACCCACTCACCTAAAGCTGCCAGCTACAAATACACTCAGGCCATGTGCTACCACACTATTCCTATTGTCTCCGGTCCACGCAAGAGGTATCATGCCATCAAGCACAGAAACCAGGCACTCCTCAAGCCTTTAAAACAGGCACCACCCACATCTGTTTACTTGTCTGTTGGGTCATGGAACTGCCAGTCTGCTGACTTTATCACTGCTTATGCTATCTCTCGGGCTACTGGCGCTCACTGAGACCTGGATCAAACCAGAAAACTCTGCTACCCCCGCAGTGCTGTCCACCAAGCCATATGTTCTACTGTGGTCCCGACAATCACTCGTGTAATAAATACTTCTCTGGCTTCAGGAACCTTCCCGACCACTTTCAAAAGGGCTCGGGTTACACCCTTGCTCAAAAAGCCCTCACTTGACCCAACACAAGTTGAGAACTATCGACCAGTGTCTCTTCTACATTTATCATTTATCATTTATCCAAAACTATTGAACGGGCAGTATTCAAACAGGTCTCAGAATTCCTCTGAGGGAATGACCTCCTAGATCCATATCAGTCTGGTTTTAAGAGTGCCCACTCTACTGAAACGGCTCTTCTGTCTGTAACAGAAGTCCTAAGGTCAGCTAAAGCTGCAGCCCAATCCTCAGTTCTTATCCTGCTTGACCTATCAGCTGCCTTTGACACAGTCAACCACAGGATCCTGCTATCCGCTCTCTCAGCAATGGGCATCTCGGGTAAAGCACTCCTGTGATTGATTGCACTTTTTGTTAACTCTTACTTCCTTCCCTAGGTATTTACCCCATTGATGTGATATGTACTGTGAGCTCTTACTAGTATTTATTGTCAGTTGTAGATCTGTATTTGATGCTCTGTTGATGATTGTATGTTGTTCCTCAAATGTAAGTCGCTTTGGATAAAAGTGTCAATGCCAAATGAGTAAATGTAAATGTCCGAAGTAATGCTATGCTTGATTTAGTGGACAATTAGAGATGCACCGATCACCTGGGCCGATCAGTCTCACATATCCAATTCTGTGCTGGTTACATTTACATTAATGATGCGCCGCATATGGGTTCACGTCCTGCAATGCACAGCGACACAGAGAGTAACTGACTGTTATGGCAGTTACACATACACACACACACACACACACACACACACACACACACACACACACACACACACACACACACACACACCTGTTCTGTTAAGTCCAAGTCCCATGACAACAGCCACCAAAAGGAAATGAAAGATCAACGCACCGGTCAGCATGTTTCGGTGTTGAATGGCTGTAACAGAAAACACAAACGCGTTCATATGACCTTGAACGAACTCCTTAAAGCTCCACTTCATGTTTGTTGAATCCAGAACAGAATCCAGAACATGTTTGACAGCAAAAACCATCAGCGTGACTGATTCCAGACCAGATTCAGGAGTTTTTAAATGAGGATGAAGCGACATCACTTCATCCACATGTTGGTACAGGTCATGTGATCGACCTTCTGCAGTCTGTTGGTGCAACCTGTGGACATGTGACCTCTAACATTCGTGTTCTGTCCTCGTCTACAGAACCCACCTTGCTGTTGGAGTTCCACTTCTCTCCTGCTGGTGAACTGCCTGTGTACAAGTCTCTGGTTCAGCTGTCCACCATCTATTTAAAAGAACCATAAAACCAAAAATGTTTCCTTGCAGATGATGTGGCTCCTCCCACTCCTCTATGGGATAGCTTCATTTCTCAGAACAAGAACAAACTGATGACTTTCAAGAAAGATCTTTTCTTTTTTTTTTATAGCTCTAATCAAACCCAAAATTGCTAAACTAGTCTGAAGAAGACCGTTTTATTGCTTCTTTAAACAGCTCAACAGTTTTTAAGCTGTGCTACCATAATTGAAAAAGTTTTCTAATGATCAGTTAGTCCTTTAAATGATAAACTTGGATTAGCTAATTCAACTTGCCACTGGAACACAGGGCTGATGGTTGATGATGATGGGTGTCTGTATGTGTGTAGATATTCCATTACAAATCAGCCGTTTGCAGCAACAGTCATTTACAACATTAACAATGTCTACACTGTATTTCTGTTAGTTTTCTGTTAATTTCTGTAAGTTATTTTACTGGACAAAAATTAGAAAAGGAATTTTCTAAGTGACCCCAAACTTTTGAACGATAGTGTATGTTTGTCAGTTTAAAGGAGACGGTTTGTGTCAACAGGTTTTTCGTTTTGAAACGAAAAAAAAACTAAAACAAAACCAAAAAAGAATTACCAATAGTAAATAGGGAAACAAAAAACTGAAAAACAACCCATTTTTCGTTTTTTGTTTTGATATGAAAAACCAACAACAACAATCTCGTTATCCGATTGTCTTTGATGTGTTAATAGATGGAAATCGGAAATTAAAATATAAGAGTATAAATCTTATTACTTATTAGGGGTGGGCAATATTACGATATTAAATTGTGGACGATTAAAATGTCTCCACGATCTGCCTTTTCAGAGAGATCGTTACTATCGTGCACAAATGATCAGAAGGGAGTCGGATCCGTGCCGATAAATGTGGGAATGAAGAGCAGACCTGTGTCTGCTGGCTGAGACTGTATAGGAAGTACGGAACGAGTGCCCGGAGGTGGGCTGAAGGATGCAGGGATGGGAGAGAGGGTCAAGGGATGAGGGGTAGGGGTTTGAGGGATGAAGTGTTGAGGGGAAGACAGGTGATGCGGATGGATGTGGGAGTGAAGAGCAGAACGGTGTCTGCTGGCGAGAAGGCGTACGAGGAACCGGTGGAGTCGAGACTCTGAGTGGGGGCGCCGTCTCTTAGTCGGCGGACTTGCGGAAACCCCCAAGAGAACTTCAGATGGTCCCTCATTCTGCAATTTGAACAGCAGCGGACTTGATGACGGACGGACCTCACATCTCCAAAAACGTCGTAGCAAATTTTCAAATCAGCTCTGTCTCGAGAAATCGACCACACAGTTGGAGTTTAAACAACTATATTAAACTATATAAAAAAATCTCTTAAAACTTAATTCCGTGACACAATAACAGCAGTATTATAACTTACAGTTGTGTGTCTTCTACTCTGCCATTTCCACTTGTTGGCGTGAAATGCATTCTGGGATACTTGGCTATCCGAAATCCACACAAGTCACCACCATGCTGTGTAAAACGGGCGGCGCGAGAACACATCCGGGTATTGGACTGTACTTGGCTAGATGTGGACTTCTGAATTGGAACAGTACTTGGGCTGCTGTCACATCCAGCATTCCCTTTGCTCTGTTTCCCTCTTGTTCTCAGCTGTTTTACCCCCACTCTCTGGTTGCCTGTCTGTTTGCAGACGGGCGTGGATCTCGTTCCAGTCAACTGCCACATATCAAACCCGGTCCAGCACGCAAGTATTTGACATATCGTCTACCTATCTTCTGTGACCGGACTTGCCTGCCCTCCATGCTCCGCTCCCTGCTAAGCCACGGCCTCCGCTCTGTCCACCCCATCTGGATCAGGACCATTTCCCCCTTGCCTTCTGTGAATTGTGTTTGTGTTGCCCACAATAAATCTCCCTTTGGAACTGCAGATGGTTTTCTGCCTCTGTCGTGCTTTTGGGTCCAGTATACAAACACCTAACAGCTGCCACTGATGACGTTTCAGAAGTACACAAGTACAGACAAGAATGCAGATTGAGGGTCACTGGCTCCGTAATGCTAAGTCTGTCTGTACCGCTCAGCGGCAACAACAGCCTGGTAACATGCTTCAGGTCTTGGCCAATCAGAAGACAGTGGGCTTTGAGCGGGGGGAGGGGGCTTAAAGAGACAGGAGCATCTACAGCTTGTTTCAGACAGAGGCTGAAGTGAAGGCCTTCATGAAGAGTCAGAATAAGACAGAAAATGTTTAAACACAGAACTACAATATAGGACTGGAAAAGCAGTATAATAGGTCTCCTTTAAAACCATCAATAAAGTCTGAGTTTTAACTTAATAAATAACTTCCATCAGCTCACCTGCAGAAACAACCAGTCCAATCAGCAACACAGCCACACCTGCAACAGGTGGACAGAGGTCAATAAAGGTCAGAGGTCACTAAAGGTCAGAGGTCAACAGACAGACAGACAGACAGACAGACCATCAGCTCACCTGCAGCAGTCAGCACAGCCAGACCTACAAAAGGAGAACAAGGTTTACTGAAGGTCAGAGGTCAACAGACAGACAGACTTCCATCAGCTCACCTGCAGCAGTCAGCACAGCCAGACCTACAAAAGGAGAACAAGGTTTACTAAAGGTCAGAGGTCAGCAGGTTAACTTTGTATTCAAATATATAATTACGCACAAAAAGTAAGGAAATTTGTGTTGTGTAGATTATTTCTTTGTTGTAACAATGCTTCTTGGCAATAAATCTTAAACTATTGGAAAGCCTGATTATTTCCCTTTTAAATGGTGCACATTTATAAGGAACATGCATTTGTGGGATGAGCAGCAGAGCTCAGTATGTCGGTTGCACCCATGAAAAATCTGCCAGATCTTCTCTGACAATACCAAACAGCTTTTCTTTGCTGTTGCTTTTGACTCTTGTTTTGAGCTTCTGTTGACGGTTATTACTGAGATGTGCATCCATATTGCCCAGTGTGCCCCACTAATCAACACTGTAATATTTAATGTCAATGCACTGGTTTCCATCTTGCATTAGTCAAAACTTATTTTAAATGATTTGTGCCTGTTAGGAGTGCCATCACAGAGAGAAAAAGAGAGAGCGAATTATTTATGCTGATGACACACAAATATACTTGCCCGTCAGATCCACAGACCCTGGAAGGCTGAGTTCACTTAACAACTGCCTTTGTGAAGTTAAAAAATGGATGTCAAATAATTTCCTCCAGCTGAACTCAGACAAAACAGAAATCCTGGTCATCGGGTCTCAGCAGATGGCAAATCAAATACTGCCATCTGCTGCTTCCCTAGTAAATCACATTAAGCCTGTGGCAAAGAACCTTGGTGTTTGGTTTGATAGTAATTTAAATTTCGAGCAGCACACCACAAAGCTTGTTCAATCATGTTTTTATCAACTTAGAAATATAGCAAAAATTCGATCTATGTTAACTTTTAAGGACACCGAGACCATTTTACACGCCTTCATGTCATCACGCCTGGATTATTGCAACAGCCTTTTCACCTGTTTAACCCAAAAATCTATTGATCGACTCCAGACTGTCCAGAACTCAGCTGCCAGGCTTTTAACCAGAACAAAGAAATATGACCACATTACTCCTATTTTAGCTTCATTACACTGGCTCCCAGTATGTTTTAGAATTGACTTTAAAATTCTATTGATCACTTTTAAAGCTCTTCATGGCCTCTGGCCTTGTTATATTTCTGACCTTTTAGTCCCATACGCACCAGCACGTACCTTGAGATCCTCGGGCAGAGGTCTGTTGTCTGTTCCAGAGACTGGAAGGCTATGCGTGCAGAACCGGGTTGGGGGGTGGTGATGCTGCAGTGGATAATGGAGACCCGGGTTCTATTCTCCACAGTGACACATCCACCAATGTGTCCCTGAGCAAGACACTTTCCCCCTTGTTGCTTCAGAGGCGTGCGGCCTCTGACATAATTAGTGATTGTAAGTCATTTTAAAGTAAATTCTGTGCAGAGCCGGGGGGACTCGTAGCTGAGAGTCCAGTCTGTGAGAGAGGCTGAGCTGAGCCAGGGACAGCAGACGGGTTGAACGCTAACTAAACAGCACGTTATTGTGCTAAATTCACTTTTAACTACTAAACGTTCTTCTACAATCTTTTTGTTTCTTTTCTGTAGCCTACAGCTTACTGATTAACTTGAAAATGCTCCCAATGTTCGAATCCTAAGATTGAAAATTTAATGCGTACCCAACGATCAAGTATTCGGGCCCCCTAGTTCACGCGTGGTTATATTTTCTGAGCAGCAGATTATAAACCCTGTTGCCTGTAAGCAATAAGTGACCTTTGCGGTGGCATAGGGCCCCGTGGCCAGCAGAGGGCCCCTTACAGTCACTGCCAGCTAGGGGTGGAAAAACTTCACTGAAATAAGGAACGTTTTTTTAAATAAAATGAAATAAAGCTCTCTGTTAGTTATCATAATCAGCACAGCGGTTATTAATTTAGTTATTCATTATGGGAAATCAGCTGCCCGGATGGTTCAGCTTGCTTGGACATCCCCGCGACTCCTGACCCCGACTGACCCTGTGATGTCACTCCTTATGCTGGGTCAGTCAGAGGCTCTGATGTCTGAGGAGACGTGAATATTTGTCTGGACATAGACCAAAGAAGAGGCTCGAAGAAGAGATGCTATAAAGATAAAGGTATGTAAGTCAACTGGCTCCATTTTCCAATGTCTGCACTAAACGTCTAACATTACAGTCTTAAGCTGATGATACACGGAGCAACTTTTAGAGCAACCGTGCTGGGCAACGTTACCATCAGTGGTAATGAGTAAAGATTACTACCGTAATCCCCTTCCCCCACCACTTCGCCACCTGCCCCGCACCACCGCAATCCGTTCAAAACATAATCATCAGCTTTACATCAGCCTTAGCCGTGCTGGTCAACTTTTACAAACTACATAAGTACTAGTATTATACCATAGTATACTCTTAAACTGTATTAATAAGGTCAATGATTAAGTTAATAATTTTAATAGCACTAGGGTCTTATTCAATTTAAGCTATTAGCCTTTAAAGCTGTTTATATTATCTATCTAACATTATCTATGGGGCTGTGCTGTTCACATCTGGTGTTATAAAGCATTTAACAGGGCAATAAAACATAGGCCAGGTCTGCCCATGATATCATTTAAAGTGCTCCAGAACTTTTTTCCATCATGTTTTATATAATTATTCCTGGATTCATAGTACAGTTGCTTCTTTTTATTCAATTTAGCAACATAGTTCCTCAATTTCCAATATATTTGTCAGTCAGATAGGAATCCCTTTGCCACTCCTCTTGCACCATCTCTTTGAACCATGTATCCTTTTAATTCATCATCAACCTGAGGAGCCCTAGCAGCTCTGACAGTCAGCCTCCTAACAGGAGCATGTTTATCCATAACTAGGGCCAGTAATTCCATAACACATTAGGTATACTATCTGGGGCTCTCTGGTGAATGACATCAGATATTTCTAATATCATCATCCACATATGAATCACAACAAAAACCCTTGTACATTCTTTTATATACAATTTTTGGCCCCGCCTTTGAAACTTTAGTCTTCCTGGATAAGCCCACTAGATTGTGATCACTAAAGCCGATAGAAATTTATGTGGCGGCTTCAGAACAGAGTTCAGCAACATCAGTGTACATGTATATCTATACATGTGGCTGATACAGTTTCTGTCTTATTAATTAATAACCTGAACCAGATTATAGGCCCCGGTTTTAGTAAGAATCTTCTTTCTTCTTTCATTTCTAACTTTTCAGCTAGTATGCGGCGGACCTTGTTCTCAGTTTCTTACCCGCTCTGACATTGGTATTCAGAATTCTATAATAATAATAACGTTATTGCTTTTTGACCTCACCTCAAGATTTCCCATCCAGTAATAGCGCTGATTTGCTTTGTTTATGTCCCCGCGTGCTCCTCGGCACATTTTAAATCTCATCGCTGGTCTTTTCCTGATTATCCACCTGCGCTTCATTTGTATTCTGTGATGTCTTTAACAAGATCATCAACTCACTTGTTTGCTGTTTCCATAAAGAGTTGTAGAATCATGTCCTTAAAAAAGATTTTCTGCTTCCAACATTAACAGTAACATATTCCTTCTCAACAGCAGACTCTTTCTGAGAGCCATCTTGACATGTAAACCCTGTAGTTATAAAGTCATGGATAAACTTATGGGTCGCAACGGTTTTCTGAGGGGACAACACTGAATTTAAAGCCCCTTTTCCACTGCACGGTCCAGCTCGACTCTAGTCGCGCTTTTTTGGTTTTCCACTGAGGAAAAGTTGGACCTGTACCTGCTCCCAGGTACGTTTTTTCGTTTTTTTCCTGGGTACTATCTGCAGTGGAAAACGGAGCAGGGCCGAACCGAGTCGAGAAGAGTCGAGTCAAGGTGAGCTGGTACTGGTGATGGAAACACGGCATAACGTGCCCACCCTGAGTTAATGGTGACTGCAGCTAAGACGTCCTTCATACCGACTGCTGTCATGGCAGATAATTATAACTTAAGGAAACTTTTTTTAAACATAATTTAAATAATAATTTGTCGCTGGTAGCAACATGTAGGTTACATATGTTGCAGGACTTTAATGATGCAAAGATCAAAATTAACACAATGTTCTCAGGCTTTTAATGTACATGTACAACAAGGTGTTGTATCCATTATTTCTCCACAGTGTCGGGTTCATGGCTGCTATAATTTCAGCAAACCACTAGATGTCACTGTGCTGTGTCTGTCTTTGAAGCTTCTGTACAATCAGGAAGAAGCCTCAAAAGCTTCAGAAGACGTTGTCCGCCCATCGCCACAAGGTGAGGTGGGGCCTTGCTTCATTTGGACCATTTGAGAGTAATGAGCCTATTGGACAGTCCAGCTCTGGATGCACTGATCGATCGGCTAGTGAGCATTCCTATCAGTGTCACATATCCAATTCGGTGCTGGTCACATTTTTTTTTGCTGTGCTGCATGAGGATTGACGTACACACACACACACACACACACACACACACACACACACACACATACCTTTTCTGTTACACCTGATGTATCCTAAATATTTGATGGGTGGGATGACAGCCACCAACAGGAAGATAAAGATCAACCCACCAATCAATATGTTTCGATGTTGAATGGCTGTAACAGAAAACACAAACACCTTCATATGACCTTGAACGACCTCTTTATAATAATAATAATAATCTTTATTTGTAGAGCACTTTTCAAAAACAAGTTACAAAGTGCTTTAACAAGTGCAAAGGCAATAAAACATAAAAACAAATCAGTAAAAGCAAGAAAACACTTAAGAGACTGAAATCCATATTAAAATATAAAATATAAATAAAGATAAATAGAAGAAAATCAAATGCTTTTCTCTTTAACCTTTATTTTAACAGAAAAGTCTCTTTTGCAAGGCAGTCCTGTATATCACAAATAAAAACAACACTTTTTAAACCATGAGTTGAAATGCAATACATTTAACAATTCAAAAATTAAAATATAGTAAGAAGTGACTAATAATTTGTTCAAATATTTGTATAGGCAAAATAAATGAGTTATTAATACATAAACAAAAGTAAAAGCAGAGCCTAAATGTAGATATCTAACTACAAATGCTCAAAAATTTAAATACAAGTGCATAAGCCTGTTAGAATGTCTGATGTTCTTTTTTTGCAGCTAAAGTGATTGGTATGCAAATCTTAATCTTAGACTGCAATTCATTCCAGGACGAGGGAGTAAGTACCAGTGTAGCATCTTACGCGTTTTAAGAGATGACAGTTTACCATGTCATACAGGGTGCAGCATTTGTAATGAACCTGAGAGCCACATGATAAAGAATGTCTAGCTTCGACAATGCAGATGGACATGCAAATCAACAGATGTTATCACTGTAGTCTAACTAAGACAGGAATAATCCTGCAACCAGTTTTTTATGTGTAGATTTAAAAAATGTATAATATAAAAAGGCCAGGGTAAATTTATGTTTTTTTGCCAGAGCTTCAATGTGTTCTATATATATATTTTTATACGTGTTCTGTCCTCGTCTACAGAACATCTCAGGTTACGTATGTAACCCTTGTTCCCCGAGAAAGGGAACGAGACACTGCGTCGGTGACGACACTATGGGAACGCCTCTGGGCGTGGCAGGACTGAAATCATCAATGAAACTACACCAATCCTATTGGCGTTGCTAGAACGGTAGCGTGTGACGGCGTAACTGGAGGCATAAATAAGCACGCCGGCACACCAGACACATTAGCTCTTTGCTATGAAGCAAGGCACTCCAGGCGGGGTGAGGTGTGGCGGACCGACGACTGAACGATCCAGTTGCTGACTGATGCCAGCCCAGACTTGGGGTACCCAAAACAAACTGTGGCATCACCAGGGGAGGTGGTAGGGGGGCGTTACATTCCAGTCTGTGGGCGGATGTCAGGCTTCAAGATGGCTGCCGCCATCCCCACTACATCTCCCAGGATGCAGCAGCCTCGTGACCCCAAAATGGCCGCCACTTACACTACATACCCCAGAAGGCCGTACACCGTAGGAAGCCGCAGGTGTGTCCAATCCCTGATGAAGCCTGGGGAGGTGGGTTGGAGGAGTGAAAGCTACCAGATCGGCTGCTCAGAGACCAACTCGGCAAAGGAAGTTTGAACTTTGTGTGTTGACTGAAGTGAGATTGGTTAAATCTGAACTCTGTTATTTTCCCCACCGGGACACTTTACGTTGGACTTTTTGGGTAAAAGAAGAGGACGTGTAACCTATGTTTGTTTTCCTAACGGACAATAAAGCCTGTGTTTATGTTTGGAAGCCGACCGTTTTTGTTCACCTTCAGAGACACTGCCACTGGGTACCCCGCTCGGGAAACCTCTCATGACGTCACAACAACAGCAACTAGTCTGCTTTCCTCCACCGGGAGGACCTCAGAGTCTAAATACTCAGCACTCTGACCGGGCAGAGCAGATGAAGTCTCCCGTCCTCCACCGTCACATGAGGTGGGGGATGAAACGCCTGCAGCACTGTAGACCCTGCCAACCTGGACGGAACCTTAGGAACATAGCCCGGACAGGTGTGCAGGATGGCTCTGAAATCCCCCACCCTCCTCAGAGAGGTGATAGCGAGGAGAAAGGCCATCTTAAGGGTCAGGTGCTTGGCCTCAGCCGACTCCAGGGGTTTGAAGGGGGCCTCAGCTAGCGCTTCGAGAACCACCGCCAGGTCCCAAGTGGGAACCCTGGAATGAGTCACGGGTCTCATCCTCCGGGCACCACGGCGGAAGTGCACGACCAGTGGAAGCCTCCCCAGAGGCCCATCCCTCAGAGGGGCGTGCACCTTGAGTGTGGATGGGGAAAGGCCAGTAGAGAAACGGTCCTGGAGGAACTCCAGTACCATAGTCACCGGGCAGGTAAATGGGTCCACCGCCCGTTCTCTACACCACGTGGCAAACACTTTCCACTTCAGGCCGTACTTCCTTCTCATGGACGGGGCTCTGGAGCTGAGCAGCGTCTCGACTGTTCCCGGCGTCAGGCCCGCCTCAAGGAACTGGGCCCACAGCCAGACCCACAGTCTTCACAGGGCGGGGCAATGGTGAAAGACCTGGCCCTCCGCCTGAGACAGCAGGGCCCTCGAGGAGCGATATTATGTCCGAGAACCACACTCGGGCCGGCCAAAATGGGGGTAATAGCAGTATGCTGACACCGTCCTGACGGAACCGCTCCAGAACCCCCGGGAGCAGAGCGACTGGGTGAAAAGCATACAGAAGCCGCCTTGGCCACGTCTGCACCATGGCATCCAGCCCTAGCGGGGCTGGGGGCGAGAGGGAGAACCACAGTAGACAGTGGGTAGTCTCTTGAGACGCAAACAGGTAGGGCCGAACCTTTCGCACAGTAACTCCACCACCTCGGGGTGGAGTCTCCATTCCCTGGGCCTCAGCCCCTGTCTCGACAGCAGATCTGCTCCCTGTTGCTGGGTCCCCGGGATATATGTCACTCTGAGAGACAGCAGTCTCTGCTGGGACTACAGGAGGATCTGATGTGCCAGCTTGCATAATGGGTGCGAGCACAGACCCCCCTAGTGACTCAATTAGGCCACCACCGCCGTGTTGTCGGTCCTGACAAGGACGTGGCGGCCGCGGAGAGCGGGCAGAAAACTCCTCAGAGCTCTGAAAACCGCCAACATTTCCAGGCAATTTATGTGCCAAGAAAAATGATGCTCCTGATCCTCCACCCTCTCGCAAAGCGCGCAAGGCGTCTGTCGAAATTATTGTCCGGCGACATGACGCTCCCAACACGGGACCTTGGGACAGGAACCAAGGTTTCCTCCATACAGACAGGGAACGAAGGCACCTGGTCATAACCCGTATCAGACAGAGCGGATCTCCCCTCGGGGAGAATCCCTTGGATTTTAACCACCACTGCAGGGCTCTCATGTGCAGCAGGCCAGACGCTGCCGCCATGAGACCCAACACCCTCTGAAAGTGTTACACAGTGATGGTGCGGCCTAGCTTCACTCTGGTCACTAAGGACAAATTGGACCCGACGCGTGCAGGCGACAGGTGGGCCCGCATCGTCATTGAGTCCCACACCACCCCTAGGAACGTAGTCCGTTATGCGGGCGTCAGCACGCTCTTCTTGAGCTGCAGCCCCAAACGCTGAAGGTGGGCGAGGACGAGGAGACTGAGCCAAAATGAGCCAGTCATCGATGTAGTTCAGTATGCGGACGCCTTGGAGCCTCAGCGGGGCCAGAGCTGCATCCATGAATTTGGTGAACGTGCGAGGAGAGAGTGCTAGGCCGAAAGGAAGAACCTGATACTGGTACGCCGCGCCCCTGAAGCGAACCTCAGGAACTTCCTGTGAGGAACCAATCCTCGGATTGGATGTGGCTGACGATGGCGGGGATGGTGAGCATCTTGAACCTGAATCTCCTCAGAGATTGGTTCAGGGACCGCAGATCTAAAATCGGAGGCAATCCTCTGTCCTTTTTGGGAACTATGAAGTACCGGCTGTAGAACCCGGACTCCGTGACTGGCCGGGAAATGAGTTCTATGGCCCCTTTCTCCAGCAGAGAGGGAACTTCTTGTCCCAACACCTGGCTCTGCTCCGAGTGCACCGCAGTCCAGACCACACCGTTGAATCTGGCCAGCCCCTCAGGGCTGGTGGCCGGTGTTATGCGTAGGTCCCCGGCGGCACCCTAAAATATTGTAAGAGGTGCTATTGAGCCATTCTTCTACAACCATGCCCACAACCATATCAGACAGCAAAGTACCCCCCTCCAGAAGTGCGCAACACGTTTGTGAGGTTTCAAGCATCAAGCACTATAGAGCCATCAAATCGAAATATTTACCGGTTCATGTGCGGGTGCGAAGTTTCGTGACTTCTTGAGCATACTAAAGGCCTCAAACATTTGTTTAAAAACTGACACAGGAAATACAAAATGACTGCTGACTTCCAAGTCGTCTACATCTTCTGCTGAGCCTCCCTGCTGTTTTTCTGTGCTTATGTTCTGGATTTTGGATTTGGCCTCTCTAGAGCTTTTTCTGCCTGTTTGGATTTATACTGTGGATTTCTGGACTTTAGATACTGCCTGCATCTGTTTGAATTTGTTAGCCTTTTTTGGACTTGCCTTCTTCTACACAGTGTGAATCGCTTTTGTTATTTAACTCCCTTGTGTTCCAGTGTCTACACTCCACATACGTGATACTGAGGAGGATTTTGTTGGCCATTTCCAATCCACACTAACTGGTTTCGGATGGCCCTTTTATAGAGAACGCACCAGGAGAACCCAAAAACAGAGGTGAGTAGAGACATCAGGAATTCATGGAGGTTAGAACAGGATCCACAGTTCAGTCAGGACAACTTTCATCAAAGAACTGAAATTGCGGCATTGTAGTTATGATTGGCAGTGTGGCTCTGTTCTGGTGTCTCCCTGCCCATCCATGTGCATACATGAAAGCCCGAGGCAGAGGGCAGCAGGAAAGAACGGCTGTACAGAACAGAACAGGCATAATAATCGTAATGGAACGTAATAATCAGATAGAAGATGGCACTGAAACACTGTGTTAAATGGGCCCAGGGCTGAAGACAGTACGTTTATTATCAGGCTGCGGCTTCTGCTGCTCTGTGTCGATTCTGCACACGAACACACACCCCACGCACAGGTCGCCAGTCCATCGCAGGGCCACACATAGACAAACAACCAGTCACACTCACATTCACACCTAAGGGCAATTTTCTTTGGACGGGGGGAGGAAGCCGGAGCACACGGAGAGATGTCAGTGTTTTTCTGATTCTTCATCAGGTTTGGTGAAACTCAGTGTCCACATTAATAACCATGGAAATGTCACAGGAAGTGACACATGAAAGCAAGATAAGTCTCTGTGTTTAGCACACTTCAGTTTAGTGGTGCTGAAAACACCTCTGATCGTATCTACAAACTTGGGGAGTCTGAAAAAGGACAAATCTTTTTAATTTTAGTCACTATCTGCTTTTAAAAGTCTGTTAACTCAGATATCCGTCAATGTTAAGAAATCCGTGGTCACACTGCACAACACATCTGATGCTAACAGGAGTCTGTTGTGCTGCAAAAGTCAACAAACTGATCCTTCGTAAGGATTCTTCTACGAGTTTGATCCGTACAGGTCTACGCTGATACACATACAGCCTACCGGAAATATTCACATGCTAAACACTCTCTGAGGCTGTCAATTCGGATACTTCTTCTAGTGTACTAACATGAAATACACTGTGTACACTATGTACCTACTTGTGTACGTTCATTTTAACAGGGTAGGGTTGTCTCAAATCAAACACGGCCGTTGTGCCGCCACACACGCTTTCCACAAATGACAATCGCAACATTTGTCTGCTTTTTCTTCTTCTTTTTAATGGCGAATTGCAATCGGGAGGATGATTGTTGCCAACATTTGACCGCAATTCCCACGACATTACTCTCTCGTGTCTCCATGGTAGTTGGAGGAGTGCTCCTAGCAGAGGGTATGAAGAGGAAGCTCTGACTGTGGCACAGAGGGAAGTGTCAGCTAAACCTTGGCTGAGGATGAGTTTAGCAGAGTGAGCTTATAACTTCCATAACACCCCTGATTCTCAGCCTGCACCTGAACCTGCTCACTTGTCAGCCAACCTCCAGCATGATAGCCAGCAGCCGGATTAGGCTTGATGTCTCCTGTGCCTTCTCTGTTCTTCAATTCAACCAGCTCTGACCACCTACACTGGTGTTTCACGGTACTACGGCAGTGAATAAGATGTTAGTTAGTTTGTTGAGTCTGTGTTAACTTAATAGGAGTTGCAGCGCGTTCCTAGCAGAGTACACACTGATTGGTCAGAATTTGAGGAGTTTAAAGAAACATTAACGGCTATCTAACCCCGTGCCGGCCGTGTTCTTATTGTAGGCTAATTCTCTATTTTGTATTTCATGGACTCTTCTTTTATGTGTAATATGATTAAGATGTAACATACAATTGCAGATTAAGTTTATTGTAAAAAAAAATAGAGCCAGTGGAGAGGAAATCTATGAAATCTACTAAGATCTGATGACTATGGTAGATTTAATAATCACAAATCTTAAGCTACAAGTTAAAAACATTATAGTCATACATTCATGACAGAAACACTCTAAAAGTAGATTTTTTTAGAACCACATTACTTCACTTTGCAAGGCTGCAACATCACACACACACACACACACCTATGCTGTGTATTATACATGCAGTGGAAAGTTATACTTTGCAAGTGGATTTAGCAGTGAGGAAATACTTGTGATTTCAGCCCACATCGCCATATTATCATACATTGGGATTTTAGAGACTTTTCTGTGAGTTGGGCATCTTCAGAAGAAAACACCAGAGTGATGTGGATTTTTTGTGACCTTAATTTCAGGAAATTCAGAATCTGGTTCTTGCTACTTTGATCTAGGAAATCTTTTCCTTGAAACATTAACCCCCACCCTGGCTCCATATTTTTTGGACATATAAAATAGTAAATCTAAATATATAAAACATTCAGAATAATTCAATTAGCCTATACAGATGGTCTACATCTTAGAAATTGGCCGGTTAATGAATCAAGATCTCCCTAAATCACCGGGGCTGCAGGGCTGCCTGTATGAATGTAAGATTAAGAATAATTTCATGTCAGCTGCAAACCCAGTGGAACAAGTCAGGAAATATTTGATCAAGTGGTGTGTACAAATAGTTCTCATTAACAGAGTACAGATGTGGTGTGTAGTCCACGTATACAGGGTAACGTCGAGTTATCCACAAAGATAACCTGCTCGGAGCAGTTTAGAGATGCAGCGTAAATTGTCACGAGAGCAGACTTCAGGTAAAGCCTATCCACCTTTCAGTCCAGGTCTGGATCAGGTCTCAGACTCAGTTCTGGTTCCTCTGTATGAGTGCAGACACTGAAGTGTGTTGGAGCTGTGATGGATGGATGGATGGATGGATGGATGGATGGATGGATGTGTTGGACTCACCGAGCAGCAGAGACACAGATGAAGAATTCATGTTGTCTGGATGTCGACTGTCAGTCAGTCTGAACAGCAGAGTGACGCCTTCAGCTTCACTTCCTCTTTAACACAGTTAGAGATTCAGTTTAAGCTGCTCTCCACTGAACCTGGGAGCCCCACCTTCAACACCACCAACCAATCCCCACAGCAGAAAGAGTCACATGTCAGGTGACTGCTACATGCTCGGCCTGTTTATGTTAATGTTAAATAGCAGGAGCCATTCAATGACAAACAGGAATGGGGGCTTGAGAGTTACTTAACACTGCAGTGATGTACAGGTGTACTCCAGGACACCATGACATCACTGATGGGTGTGGTCAGATGAGGACACTGCTTAAGCGCTAAAATAAAAAAACTATTTAGAAAATATTTAAAAGGATAATTATAAGTGATAAACAGGTAAGTAAATTAAACCTTTGAAAGTGAATCACTGCAAACCTGACTGAGAGTCTGCAGTCATGCTAGCAGCCCTGTGAGGCTGTACTGAGACTAAACATCATGCTAACATGCTGCTAACATTCTGTATATTAGAATGTGTGTTTCAATTCGGCCCTTCCAGACTTACACTTACTACTGTGACTGCATTAGTGCATTCACACTGACAAGTATGGCACAAAGCACTACGCCATCTTGGCTACGTAGCAGAAGATGAGGGACCACCAACATATTTTCAGACTTGAAAATGGCAGCAGAGGAAGCTGCAGCGGCTGATAACGATCTGCCTGGTTTTTGCTGTTTTTTAGAAGAAGACTTTAAAAAGAAGAAGAAGCGGTCAAATGTTGTAAATGTACCACATCTGTGTTTGGTTTGAGATAACGCTAGCATGTTTAATTTTATAAAGATGTGGTGTGTAAATAGTGTGTACACAGTGTACTGCATGTTAGCACATTAACGCAGGTATCCGAATTGAAACATACAGCAAAAGACTGAAGAACTACAGGAAACATTATAGAATCAGAATCAGCTTTAATGGCTTTTTGCTCATACTAGGAATTTGACTCTGGACTTCACAGGACAGCGTAACAAAATGCTCAGCACAGAGCAGACACACATACACTCAACAACAACAACATTTGTAGGCAGCAAGACAGTAAGCCAACAGTGAACTGAGAGTATAGTGCAAAGGATTTTTTTGTGCAGGGGTTATTATGTACATTATGAGATGGATATGGTATAGACAGTATATACAATATGAACAGTACTGAGTTACGAAAGTGACAAATAAATAATAAGGTGGTAACAGTATCCAGGTGGATATACACATTAAGTTACTACGTTACTTTATTACAAAGTTATATACTTATATATATAAGTTATTATACAGGGATTACTCCTGAAGTTGTGTGTCAGCTGTTCATCAGAGTGATGTTTGTGAGTCTGTTGGTTTTGGCGTACAGTGCTCTGTAGCGTCTGCCAGAGGGAGGAGCTGGAACAGGTTGTGGCCAGGGTGTGATGCACAATGTTTCCTGCCCGTTTCCTGACTCTGGACATGTATAAGTCCTGAATGGAGGGCAGGTTGGCACCGATGATCTTTTCTGCAGTCTTGACTGTCCGTTGTAGTCTGCTCCTGTCCTTTTTGGTGGCAGATCCAAAATAAGCTTTACTGGTCAAATGATCCAAACAGGAAGAGACAGAGTGTGATCAGTGAGAAGAGCAAAGACAACATCAAGTGTTCTGATGCTGAGCTGATGCTGCTGATGCTACTAACTGTAGTATTAGTTGTATCAGCAGCAGCTTCACTTTGACTGCAGTTATTGATAATATGATCTGACTTTTGAAACCGTGACAACGTGTTTGAACAGCCGAACCACAGCATGAGTGTGAAAATATTTCTCTGACTCACTTCTGCTTTCATGTCTTTACTGCACGTCTTCATCTGGTTTTAACCACATTCTCACCCTCAAAACAACATCAGGACCCTGAGCTGGTACAATAACACTGATCTTAACAATGCAACACAGCAACAGTACTGTTACTATGTGAGACCACACAACGCTTTTCAACGGTTTTCTATCTGTTATAATGTTGGGGCTCTTTCTTACAAAAACTAAAACTAATGAGAAGCTACTTACTGACTGGACTGTCCCAGAAGACACTTTAGTTCTAGCCAGTCAGTTTTTCCTTGTCTGTCCTCTCTGTTTGTTTGTCTGTGAGTCTGTTGGCATGGCTTCCATCCCTCTCTCTCTCCTGGCTGCACAGCATCCACACCTGGTCTTCATCACCCAATCATCCTGCCCAGTCTACTCACCTGCCTCTCACCCCCCCACCTACCTGCAGTATATGTCCTCCATTCAGTCACAGCCAGATTGTTGTTCAGCCTCCGCTGGATTAACTCTCAGCTTGCTCTGCGTGCCTCCAGTTCACTTCCTGTCAGTCTGCCAGCCACGCTTCCCTCCAATCCCCTCTGCCCACGTCATCTTGCCAGCTTCGGATCTACAACCCTGGCTTCCACTCCCCTGTTCTGAATAAAGACTTTATTCTTCACTAACCTCTGACTGAGTCCTGTCTGACAAAACGTAACAGAACAATCTGACCATCATGGACTCAGTGGACTCCGCCCCCTGGAGTGGTATTCAGGTGATCATGGTACCTGTAGAGCTTTTCTGATGTAATCTGGCTTCACTAACCCTAACAATCGCGATCGGGATAAGCGGTACCACGAAGCTGGTTATCAACTCGGTAAATTAACCCAGGGTTTCCCAATCCAGCCGTGAGCGCATTCACACAAAAGAGGCGGAGTTAGCAGCAGATGACCAATCACAGATATGAACAAGTCCACTGGCAGCAGAGCGTCATTTTTACCAACGAAGATTAAACTGTAACACTACAGAAATACGACAGTAGCACGGCTGCAGCTGACACATGCAGAGAGACAGAAAATCGCAGACAGTGTGAATGTCTAAAACAGGCGAAGTAGGCTATATAAGAATGCGTTGATTTGATGTGTTCTTATGAGCTGTATAAAAATAACAGCCTTATCCTTTCAGCTCGGCTGTGTGTCGGCGTTTCCACATTAAAAGACTCGAGCACTGAATACGTGGTCGTTCTACCTCCCTTTAAAAAACTTCTCCTAACTGGAAAAATGAGATTAATTTAAATAACACACTCAAAAGTTTTCCCAACATTGTTCTAAATTAACTTCATAATGCCATAAAATGTGCCCAAATAGTGGTTGAAAGACTGAATCTCAACATCTAGGCTGCTGAAAACTCCCTTCATTACCTGCGCCCACATCGCAAAAGGTGGGGCGGAACATGACCAGTCTCTGTGATAGACTTTAAGAAAGCTACTAATGTAAGATGAGATTTATTTTGTTAAGATTTATTTTATAGATGACTCCATTTACGGAAATAAGTTGCATAATTTAATTAATGTTAACTATACACATATGTTGTATTTTGTTTCTGAGCTTTAACCGGAACTACATTTCATGGTACACCTTGCCTGAGAAGTTAGAACCGGCCAAGGTTGGCGGAGTGATATGAGGAGGTGATCTGACCGTGGTTGTTGTGTGTGTTCTGCAGTCGCGGTCGTGTGATGGATCATTAAACAAGTGGATGTAGTTCTCCTGAAGAAGTTGTCCCCGTGCTCTTATTTTACCCACGTCTACCCAGCACTACATAATTAGTTAACGCCACAATAAAGGTGCAGCGTTTCCAGAGGGAGGTAGTAGGGGCGAAGCGAAAGAGTCAGCATTTCAATGTCAGGTGTGCAGACCCTATTGTGGATCTTGATGTTATTGCACCGGTTGTTAATGTAAACACAGACCCCTCCGCCCCTCTCCTTACCGGAATCATTGGCCTCCCTAAAGGATTTCTCCACTCGGCATCTGGCATGTAGGATGTCCATTTTATTCCGGAGAGATTGCACATTTGCCATCACAACAGAGGGAAAGGAGGGATTGAAAGGGCGCCTCCGTAACCTGGTGCGTACCCCTCCTCGGCTTCCTGGTTTCGTTGGGTTGAGTAGGATGTCAGCTGGGATTATATCCAATGGTTTTAGGCCGAGAGATGGAGCCCGGAGAGCGAGAAGATCTTGGCGGGAGTAGGTGAGTTTGTTGCCACTCAACCCATCCGGGTGTAACGCTGCACTTCTGAGATCACGGGTGATCAGTAGAAGGATCACCATAATCCACAGCACTTTTCGAAAGTAGTTCATGTTAGCCATGATGGTGAATAGACTCACAGAAAACGTCGACGTGGAGTGGACAGACTGTGTTGTCGCAGCAGAGTATGCGCCAGACTCCCTGTCCCATAAGACAGTTTTATTCTAGCTAGAATAATGCCCGTCCCTCACCGTGGAGTTCTTCAGCTGCAGCTCGATCCATCGCTCGTCAGCTCGTTGTCACTGTTGATGTTCATCATGCATCTGATCTGATCCCGGACCTAGCGCTCATTTATTCTGGTCTGAGATGCTGCTGCTCTAGTGTGACATTTAGTGGCAGTGAATGTGGCACATTTGTAAAATGAGCGAATATGATTATCTGACAGAGAAGCAGAGGACAGAGGAGGGCTTCCCACTATGCCTCTCGTAGGGACAACAGCAGCTCAGCGACTGACGCAGTGTGTGTGGAGCTTGCTTGTGTGTGGGAGACGTGTGTGTTATCAGCTGCAGGAAGCTCAGGGGAGAGAGAGAGAGAGGCATCTAGGCCTCTAAGAGCTGTCGCTATTGGGTTCATCCCCGCACGCATACGCAGTCCTAAAGATTTCTTTCGCGCCCATGTGCCGTGCACGGGCCTCTCTCAGGTCCGCAATTCGGCTATATAATACCGGCCAGACCAGAGATTCGCTACCAATAGGTCAGCTCTTTTTCTTCTGCCGACGTGGGACCAGTCGGGCCGCAGTTTAGAGGGCCACACCTATACTCATAGAATCTGGGGTTACAATACGTAACCAACGTTCTATTTCGTATAGGCCTCGCCCTCAGAGAGCTGTCGCTATTGGGATGAGGGCGAAGCCAGATGGAGTCAATGCCCCCTGGACCCCCAGCTGTCATAAGCATTAACCAGCATACAATCCATGATAAGAGACCAAAATATAGGTCA